AAGGCTCAGAAAGGTATTCAGGAAGCCTGAATGCGTCCGGGATGGCCACGTTTACCAACCGCTATCCTCGCGACTGGGATGACCTAAAGGGCAGTACGGTTTCACTAAGACAGGGTAGCGGAACCGACATTGGGCTGATTTTACACGTTGGACCGCCGCAAAATGGGGATGCATATGGAAAATATCAATGACCTACCAAACAGGTTGCTGTTGAGGAACTACGTGCACACTCATTTTGGAAAATTTGCCTTCGCGTTCAAGTCCGCTGTTAGTACAGGACCCATGCAGCCAACATTCTATGTTATTTGGTTTGTTACTGACAGTTTGTGCATTACTATTCAGGAAACAGACAACGTGTATAAACTGAAGGGCTTCGGGGCATAACTGAAACCAGATAAGATGTACCCCCTGCTTGAATGGGCGTCCGTGTTGAATACACGCAAACAAAAACCGCCTCGGAGACAAGAAGGATCTCGCTATCTATGCCTATGAATACTACTATATTCCTAGGCTCATGGTTCCGCCTAGCCTATTCATTATTCTCAATTGTGAATGGGAAGAGTATTAATCGAGGCCGAACGGTCAGGTGAATAATGGGAAACTTCCCAGCGCCAATGACAACCTACTATTGGAGAATACCGAACTGTCGTTGTAGAAAGCGAGCTTTCTAAATCACATTGAGAATTACTGGAGGACAAGGACGTGTGGATGATAGAATTAGGAGGGAAACTACACGTTAACGTCGCCATACTCAATTGGTTGAGGGTCCAAAAAGGGATACAGAAACCCCGAAAGCCAGATTGATGGAGCTGTTGAGATGAAGAAAACCTTCGCGACTAGGATGACATAAAGGCAGTGCGGGCTTTTCGCTAAGATAGCATAGTAGAACTGATTTTGGGCTGATTTTACACGTTCGATCACTGCGGAATGGACGCAAACTGGAGTTAGGGGTGCGAGGATTGCATGTTAAGGCGGATATTGGGAGCGTGTAACTGGAACAGAGGAAATGTGACGGCCCAACGCTGCACTGACGCCGATATAGACAAACGACATCAACACGCCAAACAACGCCAACCGTGCAATGAAGACAAACGGAACATTAGCGAGATCACACAAACGCCCATAAGACCCCTTCGTCTTCTAGATAGATTTCCTCTTTCTTCTTCTCCCCAGATTCGATATTCTCGTTGATGGTTACAATAGTCTAGATAGGAATTCAGTTCGTTATTATCTTCTATTCCGAGCCCGTGGCAGGAAAACCCATTGACTACTAGAAATCACTAATCACCATGGAGCATCACCATAATACTATTAGTTATTCAAACATCTTACTGAATCCTCACGGTATTCTCCTACTCATTCTGCTACATTATCCTTAAGGTCTTGCCTACCAATGTCGACAGTTAGTCGCACAGAAGAGCCTGGTGTGCATGGTTAATGATAGATAGCTGACTTCCACTAGACATCACACGATTTCAAACCGGGTTAATGCGATCATTCAAATAGTCGAGTAAGTACTACTATCCCTTTGTTAAAAGATTGACCATGAACCCGCTTGACAGGCTGACAGTGACCACTATGTTGGCCTGGTTGTCTTGTCTTAGTGCGATGATATTCCGGTCTGACAGTCTCCATTTTTCAATAAATATCCAGTACTAGTAGGATACTAGTATTGACCAAGCCCTAAATCAAAAATCTGTAAACAGGTTAAGGCGACCATGTCAAAAAGTTGAGCGGCACTGCGGTGATGCACCATGATACCATCTCACTAAATCAACTCCGGGCCGGCTGAGGATTGTCGGGGTGCGAGGATTTCCAATTATATTCATATCGGTCTGTATATATTGTGCTGCAGAGCAGTAATTATGGTTTCCGATGACCAACAGCAGCACCCGAGCCGCCATTATGCCCGGACCGAACAGGGATGACCGATGAACCGTTCAAAGCGGCTCCGGGAGTTGTAAGTTGTAACCCCAGGGTTGGAGGTGCGAGTATTTATAACTATGCCCGCTGAGCGCTGAGTCAGCCCCGCGTCCATGCCAGCTAGCTAAAAGAACCAGTTCAGAATCAATCGTCAACCCATACCCTATATATTCAGAATTAGTTGCTATAAACTATAGCAACCGGTCCAGAAAAGCCAGAAGAATCGTTTGCAAGAGTTAAATGCATAAAAATAGGAGGTTCAGGTATACATACTCTGATTGGCCAGGGTGAAATCCCTGACAAAAGACAAAAGGAAAAAGTGTTTTGTTTGAGCATGCTTCTCGCGCGTTTTCCCTTGGCCTTCTTTTGATACGCATTTGCCAATAGATTTCTCAACTTTCACTCCCTGAACTGTCTTCCAACACGCTCATTCTGCGCGCCAGATTGCCCACAAGTCTTGCGAGACCTTTTTGAATGCTTTTATTACATTTGTTTTGAAGCTGATAGCATACTGATTCTTGATTCTGTTCCTGTTCATAATTCATATTCATATTCATATTGCTTGAAACCCCTTCTGACATCAACTTACTCAGCACTGACTAAGCTGCCCCCTTGGCAATGGCCTTTATCCCCAGGCTACACCACCTGCTCCTGAGCTCACCAGGCCTCCAGACTCCAAACTCCAGGCTCCAGAGACTTCAGTCTTCAAGAATTATTAAGACTTCTTTCTTGAATCTGCTGTATAAAGTGATAGCTTGCCTGGGCTTCAGTCTTCACCTGCTTGGCAGCTTTTCTGAATCTGCTCCACGCCAACAGGCCACACTACAGGCAGCTCATGTGGCTCAACTGGCCAAGCAGGCAAGATGGTAATCGACCTGACGCGGGACTTGGACTCTGATGAGGTAGGTCTTGTTGCACAGCTTTTTATATCATCTCTGCCCTCTGGCCCGAAAGACATTCTTTCCGCGCATTTCCGTGACCCCGTCCCACAATCCATAATTCCATATTCCATCCCCTAAAATCTAAATAAATACCCGCCACCTGTTATCTGCCCATTTCTGCCAATTCACGCGTTCCGCGTTACCACTTACCGCTTCTGATCATTTACACTCTCATTATCACCACTAAGCGCCAAGTCAGCTGACCTGATATAGCAACAACACCAAGTTCACCAACCACAAAAAACCATCCATTCATTCTTCTTCAACCTTGCTCATCGCTCTCCCTCTTCTCCAAATTCATTGAAAAGAAAAGATAGAGATTCCGAGGATACTTCGTCTGTGTCATCCCGTCGTTTCTCGCCTGCTGTCAATGGCCTAGCCAACCATAACAACCCTAACCACAGTAATAAAAGAAGCACCAACAGCAGAACCAATACCTCCAAAACCCCCTCCCCAGCCCCAAAACAAAAACCCTTAATCCCAAACGGCCCAGCCCCCAGCCCGGAAACCCAACAACAAAAAGCCATCAGCGTCGTCATCCCCTCGCCCTCCCACCAACTAAAAAGAGAAATCCTCAACTCTGAATGGACCCGCGTCGACACATCATTTAAACTAACCGGCCTCTCGGAAAAATACTACCCAACTGATGCTTACGAGAAACGCGCGCAAAAGGGCGCTTACCCTGCCAGGAAGATAAAAAAAGACTACAACAACCGGAGTAATGTCCCCCTGGAAATAGGCCACACAGGCCCGAGCCCGATCCTAACTGCTCGGCCTCACACTACAGTACATCAGCAGTTGGTCAAGTCGTTTCTGCGCAAGTTATCTAAGATCCAGGGCCCGCCGGTGACGCTGGCGCGCGGGGATGAACGGATGTTAACTGGTTTTGCGGCGAACTTTGAATTCGTCAACGCTTACAAAATCCGGAAAGGTGTGCAACCCGTCCCAGAGTCGTTCAATGGGGGATGCGATTGTGGACCCGGGTGTGATCCGCGTCGATGTACTTGTCTGTCTGAGGAGGAGCATTCGGATGACAAGATCGTGCCATATCGGGCTGCGACTGATAAGCCGGGGTTGATGTTATTGACGCCGGATTTCATGAAACGTACGTCGATGATCTATGAGTGTAGTTCGCGGTGCGGGTGTAGGAGGAAATGCTGGAATAGTGTTGTGCAGAAGGGGAGGACGGTGCGGCTGGAGATTTTTCATACTGGGAATCGTGGATTCGGTATGTCCCCCCTCCCCGTGCCATCTCTATCTTAATCCAAAATGCTAATAAAGCAGGCCTCCGCTCCCCCGACCCCATCCGCTGCGGCCAATTCATCGACTGCTACCTAGGCGAAGTCATCCTCAAGAAAACCGCCGACGTCCGCGAAGACCTCGCCACCTCTACGCACGAACATTCTTATCTCTTCGGGCTCGACTTTCTCATAGATGACGACGACATCTACGTCGTGGACGGCCAAAAATTGGGCTCACCGGCTCGGTTCATGAACCATTCATGTAACCCCAACTGTCGCATGTTGCCTGTCTCCCGGACACATGGTGACGAGCGGTTGTACGATCTGGCTTTCTTTTCGTTGAGGGATATCCCGGCGAATACGGAGTTGACGTTTGATTATAATCCGGGGGCTGTTGGTACTAACTCTACTGCATCTGGATCTGGGGTTGGGGGTGGTGCGAAAAGTCAAAAAGAGAAAATTGACCCGAGTGCTGTCAAGTGTTTGTGTGGGGAGAAGAATTGTCGGGGGCAATTGTGGCCTAATCAACGAAAGGGTACGAAGTGATGTTTTTTTTTTTTTTTTTCTTTCTTTCTTGTTACTCCTGGGTATTGGTGTTGTGTTGTTGGCATTGCATATCTGGTAATTGGTGGTTATCTTCTTGTTTTTATTTTTCTCCTTTCTTGAGCATTTGGGTTATTTCTTTAATTCCAATACCCGAGCATGTCTTCTTTTCTTTTCTATTTTCATGTGAGTGGAGTGTACATAGTGTGTATCATAGCCGAACGATGGATCGAATCACTAGTTTATCGATCTACTTCATGCCTTCATACTTCAATGACCAGTTTATATATAAGTAAATGAATGAATGTATTCTGCATAGTTGATATTCCTAGTTAAAATAAAACACACCAAACTCCATCCTACAATACCCAGCAAACCAATTGACCAAACCAAACCCATGTAAATATTGAAATCAAGAAACCACCCATCATAACCATCTCCAAAGGTAAACATAAAAGGTCAAGCCTCCCCCGCCAAAACCTCCTCAATCCCACCCATAACAAACCGCGGCCGCGCAGGCAACGACGTCGGCGACACTGGCGATAAAACTCCAGCGCTCAAACTCTGCATCGACGACCGCGATCCCAATCCCCGCTCACCACTGATACTCACATCAGGGACAGGTGCGGGCGCAGGAGCTGGATCAACAGGCCTCGGCTCCAACAACCCCACCCCCTTCCTCTCGACCGCATCCTCATCACATCGCGTGCGCTCCTCACTGAGCGCAAGATCGATCTTCGACGGTCGCCGACGGAGCAAGAACAGCAGCGATGAAGATGGACGGCGGAGCGCGTTGAGATGGTGATTCAGGTTCAGGCGGAAGGAAGCCTGGCTTTGGCTGCGGCCGCGACTTTGACTGCGCTCTTTCTCTTCTGTGCCGGTGGTTGTAATTAAGGAAGTGTCGATTTTATTATCGCTGGCTGGGAACCAAGCCGGTCGACATAATCTTCTAAACGGTGATGTGGGCGAGGACGCGGGGGATGTTGTTGTTGAGCTTAGCGGGCTGACTGTTGAGCAGTCGCTGCGGGCGTAGGAGGCAGAATTGGGAGGGGAGGAGGAGGAGGAGAAGGAGGTGTGGAGGGAGAGGTGGCCCATGGGGGAGGGGGGTGTTTTGGTTTGCATCGATTTGTGTGTTGTATTATCTGGATGGTATGTTGGGTAGGCTGGTGTGTTTATTTCTTGCGATTCGAGATTGGTCTGGATTGTTATGTGCTGATATGACGAATCTCGAATGTCGAGGCTGACAGACAGGCTGATAAGAGAGTGGACGGGGTCGCGATGCGATCGATCGGAAGTAATCTGATTCGATAAAGTGAGAGTGAGAGTGAGAGTGAGAGTAAGACCAATATCAGACTGGCTGCTGTATTATAATATAATAAAAGAGTGTATGTGAGAGAGAGAGAGAGAGAGAGAGAGAGAGAGAGAGAGAGAGTTGAAGAGAACGACAGTTGAAATGGCAATGGCAATGGAGATCGACGCTAGACACAATAGCAATCGCTAAATAGTGGACGCCCCCCCCAAAAAGAAAATTGAAACAAGGCGAAACAAACGCCGTTTATATATTCCTGTTCCTGTAATATAATAATCTCGATGATAATAACAATACCAGAATATAACAATGCATTACAGACTGAGTTTGGTGCCTGCAAGGACCGTGTCTTTTGTATAGCCTCATACACGCCGGATGCGGTCAGCCTTCATTTTATTAGAGAGCATATACTTTATTACACTGTCTGCAAACATCAATTCATTTATAATACAAAGTCAATGCAACATCCGCATACGGCTCAAACAGCCGGTGTTCGACGATTCCCCTCACTCTTCGGATCGATTTCCAATCGAATGATGGCATTGGAATGCTGCACGCCCGTTCCCGATCATATTGTGACAGTTGACGTTTCTTATTTCCTGATGCATTCGGTAATTGTAGCTTCGATTGATACCATGAATATACACTAAAAACATAAAAAAATACAGAAAAACGCCGCTGCTATGCAATGGTCTTGTCAGACTACACTCAGTCAGAAATAACAAAAGACATCCCACATCTCATCACCAATTATCATAATCCCATTAATCATTCCCCCATATCACTCCCCCATATCAACCCCCTTAAACGTAGATCAACTATCCCGATCTCCCGATCGTCGCTGCGTAAAACTCCGCCGGATACTCTCACCCCAGGCCGAATTGCCCAACGACTGCATAACATCATTCACGCTCATCGCGCTATGCTGTCGCGAATGCTCAACTCCCCCGGTTTCTGTATCTAATCCAGGATCCTCGGTACTAGGGCCCGGCGGCGGATCGTATGAAGAAGTCGTATGGGCGCGTCCCCGTCCCGTAACCAGTGACGGACTGATGCTCGACCATTCTGTTGCTGGCGAATTGGTGGCTGACATGCGGCCTGCCAGGCCCGTGTCGATCCGTGGGAGATTGTGGCGACCGGTACCGGTACCGGTTGTCGGGCTGGTGTCGCCTCTAGGTAACGTGGGTGAGAGCATTGGCTGCGTGTCTTCGTCGCTGTCGTTACGGCCTTCGTTGTTGCTGTCGCTACTGGCGTTGTCTGAGACATCGCGCGAGAGATCCGGTTGGTCAGGGTTACCATCATGATATTCCCCATCGACGAAGATCTCCGGGACCGTGAATGTTGGTACCCCGCTCATGCGCGCGGATTTCTTCGAGTCGACCTTGCGCCGGAACTCACGCGACCAGTACAGCGTGTCGAAGAATCCGACGACCGTACTGCGCTGCACAGCCTCTTCCACACGCTGCAACCGGGCGCGACGACGGAGGAATTCTTCGAGCCGTAGACTCTTGCTGTCGTTGATCACGTTGTGATGTGCGAGAATCATCAGGCACGAGTGGAATGAGATCCCACGCTGCGCGTCTGCGGATACCAGTACCTCTTCGTAGAACGTGTTGAGTCGCTCTCGTCGGGCCTGGACTGATTTGACCGGCATCTGGGTGAGGATCCGCGACAGTGCATCGAGGTCTACACCATCCACAACCCTCCGGTTGCTCAGGGACGATTTCTGAGGATCAACCCTACATCTTTCCAGAATGCGTCCAATCGTATATGCGCCATCATGAATACGCATATCAAAGACGCCCGAAAGTTCCTGTTACAGTTAGCACCGATCCATAAACAGCAAAAGAAAGAAACCTACCCCAAGTAACCTCGGAAACTGCTCCTTGGAAATAAACCCAACCCCATCCGGATCAAACGTCGCCCACGCATGCTTAAACCTCCGGATCTCTTCCCGACTAACCACATACAACCCACTACTCCGTTGATACACATACGAGAAACTCTCGAAGATCAGCGACACAAACAGCGAAACAAAGATATACATGCTGATAATGTTCCACGCAATGAACAGCGATCGTGCCCATGCCGCACTACCGCAATCATCGTTGAAGAAATCCTCGTTGTACGTGCACCGTGGCGGTTCCATCGTCGCGAAATCCTCCATCAGCTCGTTCCACCCTTCACCACAACTCGTCCGAAATAGCAGAACAAGTGCCCGCGGGATGTCTCGGAAGTTGATGTTGTTGTCCTCCTCGTCACCAAACTTGGTGAGTCCAAATGCTTGGTTCATGGCGATCGCGAATGCAAGAAACAACACAAACCATGTGGCCAGGAGATTGCCGATCGCAGTCAAACTCGCAGCTGCCGTCTTGAAGAGCTGGTCGAGCTGGTTGTTCCGCGGAATGAGCATCAGAGTGATGGCTACCAGGAAGAGTTTGCCCAGAACATCAATCGCATGACTGTTCGGCATGGTAAATTGTAGGATCGTCGTGATGAATGTGCCAGGGATAACGAGCATTGCAAAAAGATCCCACGAGCTTCTGCTAAATCGGTGCCAACCGAGCCCGATCATCCGAATGACAAGATTGGCAATGTAAAAGAACGTAAAGCAGAAGAACAGGATTCGCCTGATGATCTCCCATATCGTTGGCTCACGGTAGAATTCCAAGATCAGCAGGGCCAAATGCAGAAGGAGAATGGTCGTCACACATCGCGCCCATCGACCATGCTTCTTTACTGCAATACGATAACTCCAAACTCGCCAACTCTTGCTGCGGTCATTCTGAAACGATCGCTTGGATGGCGATACTTGTCGTAGATGCTTCCGTAGTTCCAGCCAAGAACGCTGTTCGGCCGTCAGGAAGGCTACCCCCGTCTGTTCCGTATAGTTGCGCATAAAAACAGACACGAAGAGTGTCAGCACGAAAACAGCTCCAAGCAAGTTGAACACCACAAAGAGCATCCCGTTCTCCGGCGCAGCCCCGTCTTGCGGTTGGTTACCCTTTCCAGTGACTTTCATCGCACTTTCTTGAACGTCAACCCAGCCTTCTTGGGATACAATCTGGAACAGAATGAAAAGTGCATCACCGAAGTTGTCGAAATCGAACCATGGATTAGATGCCGCTCGTGGTGCCAGGATTTCCCAGTTGGAAGGTGTATTCTTGAATTCATTAACACACGTTGCCAAATTCCCAGCGAATTCATCGTCATTGCACTCGACCATTTGACCATTGAAAAGGTTGACCCCATAGATAGCGAATGGGACCAAGAAACTCATCGAGACGGCAGCAGCGGAAACGACCTTCCACCCTCCAACAACAATAACTGAGTGGAAAGTATCCTTAGCGCTATCACTGACGTTCAACAGTCTCAATGCCCTCAGGGCCTTGAACGCTCCAATAGCCCTCGAAACACCCCAATCCTGATTCAACGAACTGGCGACATTGATCCAAAGGGTAATCAAGACAACACCGTCAATGAAGCCCCAAGACCCACGAAAGTATGCATTAGGTGTCCAGAAGAAACCATCCGCAATAACCTTGATAACCGCTTCTGCTGTGAACAGAATCGCAAAGGCCATATCCGTGTACACGAACCACTTCCCCTTCTTCGTATCAATGAAATAATCTCGTTGATAGATCGGCGTTGTATAGCACGCGAGAAGAACCATGGCAACGATCGCTGCGTAGATGAATGCAGAAAACGCATACCAAACTGGCTTGTAGGGGTTCACGCCTTCAACTCGCTGGTGCCCACGGCCAGGACCAACGATGCGCTGACAGAATTTCCGAACCGGATGACTGGGCTTGAAAAGGAACAGCGATTTGTTGTACCTCGGATGATTGACTAGATAGTCTCGCTGTGCTCGCTTTCTTTGCTCTGCGGCCGTCACAACCTCCTGGGCCATTGTTTTCGGATCCAGTTCTTCGTATGCTCTCGAAAGTTGGAGCTTCGAATAGAATGGATTGGGCTCTCGGCGCATTATAGAACTTGTAACCTGTGTCCACATCCGCGAGAAGAAACTTGGCTGCGCGGGCTCTTCAACCATGGCATCAAGAGGAGCGCTTTCTCGTCGGCCGCTTTCTGCAGCAGGCGTGCTGGTTTGGTCGTCTAAGAACTCGTGTACGACAGCGTCCTTCAGAAGCAATTCCAAAGCCGCTGGGCCGTAGTCCAAAGGATCCTTGTAACGTTCCGAATTCCTTCCTAGCATGAAAATCTTCGAAAGCGCCAGATTTCCCTGCGAGGACCCATTGAGCTGTTTCTGTTCCAAAAAAGCTCGCACCTGGTGAAGACGTTTCTCATCTTCTGAAACATCAAAACTCTCTTGAATGACAGCAATGAACATATTCAGAACAATAAAGTTGGCCAGGATGAACCACATGATCAAAAATGTCGCAGAAATCCAGGCTGTATGAAAACCCGCTGTGCTCTCAGTTGCACTGTACAGAATGTCGGTCCAATTTTCACTCGACAGAATCTGATACATTCCCAAGAACGAAATGTAGATATCAGAGAACGAGGCGGTAGTGCTGACATCCTCTTTATCGATTTGACCACGGAAAAGTTGCGTCGCAAAGAGAGCAGCCAGATACGTGATCAGAAACACGAAAACGATAAGGTTGAACAAACCGACGACATTGCGGAAAACAACCATGATGAGGTTCCTTGTCATCGAAAACGCTATGACAACGCGATACACTCGAAGGATTTGGAAGATACTGAGGGCGGCATATGGGCGGCCAGAGTCTCGGATCGCAGGAACCTGAAGGATCGAGGTAATGACTGCAAGTCCTAAATCGAACCAGTTGCGCTTCCTTGTGTGAAATCTGCGCCAGTCCGATGTAAAACGTAGGATGATCTCAAGGAGTAAGACCAAGGTAACAACGCGCTCAGTGGTATTGATGAGCTCCTCTCGGTCGTGGTGCATGGATGCACTTCGGAGGGCCTGTACAATAAGATCGAAGCCGATGACGATAACCCAAAACCACTCAGTCTTGTCATAAAGACGTTTGAGGCTGCTAATCTTGCGAGCAGATAAATCTTCCCTATCAGGCTCATCGATATTCTGGACAGCAAAGGCACTTCGTTTGCTCTCTTCGCGAATGACTTGAAACGAATGGGTAATCACGGCCACCAAGAGGTTAACCATCCACAAGCTGAGAATAACAATTCCGACGGCGAAGAAAAGGGCAGACAAGAGATAGTCGCTGTTCGCGGTGTAGTACATGATATCTGTGAATGTGTTCGAGCTCATAATCACAAAGATGAGTTCTAACGAGTTCAAAATATTGTCGAAGCTCACAGTACCGCCGCTTGGGTTCTCCTGTTCGATGCAGATCGAGCCCATAGGGCAAATGTACCCCTTGGGGCCAGAATTTGTTCCGTCACCTCCAATCCATGCCATTTGCGTCCCGTTCTTGTGTAGCCAGCCGCCACAGAACTGTTCCTCCTGAGTATAGTCTTCTTGTCCGTCTTGGCCTAACCAAACACAATTTCTCAGTAAACTTGATTTGAAACTCTGAATACCGACAATGGCAAAAAGAAGCCAGAAAAACGATACGAGGAAGCCAACGTGAACAAGTAAGGGTGCAGCTTTCTTGAGACTCCGAAGAATGACGGAAGTACCGTTTGTGAGCGATAGAAGACGCAGGAGCCGAAGACAGCTCAGCATACTGAAGACATACAACTGCTGGCGAGACTCGACCCCGGAAATTTGAAGGACAAAAGAGACCCAGTATGCAGCCACGGCGACAAAATCGAGCCGGTTGAAAGAATGACGGAGGAACGCACGATGAGCAAGTCTCACACGTCGTCTCTGGAGAGGATCATCGATCAACTCTTCCACCTCATGATTATCCAAGCCACCCGTGAAGGTCCGTATAATAGAGGCCTGCGGTTCAGTTGGAAACATCGAAGTCTTTTTCATCGAGAACTGCCGTTGGGGTGTGATTAAACTTTTGCCCTTCTCAATCACCGCGTTCTTGAAACTGAGGCTGCGATCCAAAGTACTATACTCAGCCGGGTTTATTATGAGACCCGACACCAGTATTTTGGCTGTTTGTTCAAGAGTATAGATCACGAAGATAACAAAGTAGCAGTAATCAAGAGCCCGTTGTCCCCAATTATGAGGACGAGGATCGTCATTCACTGGCTTGGCTGAGTCAATAGTCAAGAGGATCATTTGGATCACAATCACCAGCAAAATGAAAGGTTCTGTAAATGGATGGACCAGCACGTCACATAAGCGCACCCGGATAGGGTTGTTTGGTCCCAGTAGCCCGAGCGATTTCCCTTTCAGTGGGTTACTATGCTTCCACCACGTTGCATACGGTGAGTGCTTGTTCTTGGATGCTTGGCTGCTGGCTTGAGAGCTGCTAGACGGTGCATCATGAGCATAGTCCGCCAGATTAGGCAATGTTGGGGGCTTGTCCAAGCGCGCATTCTTGTAGGATTCTTCCCTCTGTATTGATTGTTCGACGACTTCCGGTTCGTTACTCAAGTTGACAACACGCTGTGACATATTCTTCATCATCGAACTCGCGCGTTGCAAGGCAGAGCCCGAAGCCGACGGGGACAACGAACGCGACCGCTCGGTAGTACCGCTACTGCCACGACCCCTTGGGCCCAATCCGTTCTCCAAGTGTGGTAGGTCATCGCCCAACCGCGCCGACTGCGTACGACTGGTCGCAAAGTTGACGTTATGTACACTGCTTCGGTCATCTGGGGCGCCATCCGAAGAACCACGGACCCCACTTATTGGCTGAATGTTCCTCCGGTCTGTCAACGGGGCTTCATCCTCGCGCGTATCGGTAGGAGAGAAGTAGTAGTCGGGGTCATTGTAGCCGTAGGGGCCTAGCGGTATGCTATCGAACTCGGACCCGCCCTCGTCTCGACTGCGCCGTTCAGGCTGAGGTTGAGGATCGCCAAAACTGAGTCCGACAGACGCAAAGGCAAATGCCGCGGGGTCTTCAATTGAGTGTTCATCTTCTTCGTGGAGAGGGTAGGAGCGTGGGTTTGTCGCCGCGACGGATGGTTCAATCGGAGAATCTTCTGCGACTCTCTCATAGTTCCGCGATGATGATGGTCTTCGAAGAGATCGTCTCGGAGAAAATCTGCTCCCCACGCTGCTCCTGCGCCCTATGCCACGATCTTCTGCTAGGGGGATCTCCGCCGGCCGCGAGAGGTTCTGGAGGGGGATAGACTGGTGCGGAGGAGCATCGTCGTCAGGATTACCTCGGTCGTGGCTACTCGACGCCATCGTGGGCTCAATCAAGGTGTCATCCGGATCGCAGACATCGCAGGTTGTCGCAAGATGTGGAAGAACTCTGTTGTGTTTCGGGGGATACCGGCAATTCCTGTGAGAGCAGCAAAGAGTGTTAGGGAGCTGCGAGCGAATTGGCGTTTCTCGGCGGCAACCGTGGTCACTTACCTCCTTCCAGTTTTGTAGTAAAAAAAGGAAGAAATAAAATAAAATAAAATAAAAGAGGGAAACAACAACAGAGAAACAAAAGCAAGAGAAACAGAGGATTAATGGAGAAGAAGAAAAAGCCAGGCAGTGCAAGGAAAGACTAGAATTCCTCGACCGGCCGTAATCAAATGCAATCCAATCACCGATCCTTGGGGGGGCGCTTGACTTGCCTCAGTCAGGGTGAAGAGCCGCAGGCATCACCATAATCGTGTGGAGCTCTTCTTAAATTTCTTCGTCTGCCTTAGCGCGTATCGTATTGTTTCCCTGACATAAACTAGCATAAACTCGTATTGAATGCGATATTCCAGATCTGTACTTTTCCCCCCGATAGGACACTGTTCGCTGACCTGAGCATACATAGATTGGCCCCCGCTACGGAGTACATGCCAAAAATAACATCACCGCCATCATCTGCAACATGTCTCGAATGCGTTCCATACATAGTAAGAAAAGAAACCGAGTAATTGCCGACAGAGCTTTTGTTCATTTATTCTTCTTGTCCCAGATGATTATTAGGTGATACATGAAAGCATACAGACTTTATGATACAACTCCGTAGGTTCAATCGGTCTCCATACGGTCGTGTCCCTTGACAAGGCCCCTAGCACCCTGGAGGAAAGCCTTAACAGCATCGCCTCCGCCCAAAGGCACTCCTCCGCGACGAAGGAAACCTCCATTCTCCACTGGGATCTTGAGTGCTTCACTGATGCTGGGAAGACCGCCGTCGCGCAGTGCGACAGTCAGGCTGGCAAGACTCTGCATGAACTGAGGCGAATGGAGAACCTTCCGGAGGATGTTCTTCTTTTGTAAAATTTCAAGGGAAAGCATAACAGCTTCAGCGACTTCCGAATCCTCGCCCGACACATCCTCGACATCCGAAGCCAGTAGCAATAGCGACGGAGGCAAGTAGCTGAGGAGATTGTCGATGGTCTTGTCATCCGCGGCCTCAATGAACGGCAATGTGGAAGCAGGTGTAAGAAGGTCCTGTAGAGTAGTGAAAGGGTCCTGGCCCTGGCTCTGGCCCTGGCTCTGGCTCTCGCCTCCTCCCAGCGAATTCAGGAAGCCCTGTACAACCGATGATGGATCCGACGAATCGTTCGCCCTGTGAGAGACAAATCATGTTAGCCCGGGCTGGGTCATATGATGAGTGGAATGTATAGGGATCTAGAAGGAGAATCAAATAGGATGACGATTGAAAGTCAAAAATGAACAAATCCCAAATTGCTAGATGTCATGAAATGCATATAACGTCCAAAAAATATGTACTGTACCTACGCTCTTCCACCTTCAGCACCACCCTCCCTCGATCCTTGACCCTCTTCTCTGATATCTCCGCCTGTCGCATCAAAGCCTGCTCCAGCGCCACTACCTCCGTGGTTGTGGCTGGTGTCATGATCCATGCCCTCCACATCCTCCATAGTCTCATCGTCATCACCACTGCCTCCAGGGCCCCGGGGCAAGTTGGCAATCTCCTGCTCCATATCAAGCTCTTCACCCTGCAGCAACGAGTTCACAATCTCTCCCAATCTGAGATCGCGGGGGCTGAACCAGTCCAGGTTTCCGCTGTCGTGCTGGGACTTGGACTGGAGCCAGAATAGATACCGCTGGGAGCTAGACGAGAACTTCAAGGAGTAGATGCGACCGTTCGTAGGGGCCTGGCCGGAGGGCTCGTAGGGGATGAAGCTTCCATCGGAGGGGACCATCACGAGATCCACCTCGGGCTCGGTGTGAGGAGCGCTCCTGGGGCGCCAGCAGAAGTGCACCAATTCATCTTCGGAGTAGAGGTAGATGTAGCCAGGTGTGGGCTGGGGCTTGGCCACATTCGCAGACTAACACAAGTGTAGTCAGTAACGGAAGCTACAGGATGCAATCTTAGAGAGCAACGATGGCAGTCAACTCACATCCAGTTCGCAGATACCTGCTTTGAAGGTGAGGATGGGAGTTATCGACATCGTGCTGTCACAGTATCAACGTAATATGAGAGTTTAAAAGAAAGTAGTTTCAACTAATCTGAATGCAGTCAAAACGATGGTTGTGCTCAGAGGATAACGTGGAGCTGTCCAGCCAGGATACGTCAGTTGGACTTTGTTTTGGCGGGAGCCGATTAGACTGCACTTGTGGTCATTCCCCGCCGCCGTAGTAATCATGTCCGCCTTGGTGCCTGAGGCGGCTATCAGTCGCCCCAAATCGGCACTAGCGCCTTTCGGTTAACTGATAGGGCTCGCGTTCCCACAAACCTCAGGATTTCCCGCCCTGGGCCGCAGCAGCGCCGATAGTCACACATCCAATTCCATCAACACCTACCCGCCGTCGACAACCACTAACTCGTCCCCAGCAGCCAATATGTCGGACTCTACTGTTGGCCAGACGAAGCAGTTTGGAAAGGGCCAGAGGGTCGTTCCGGCCCAGAAGGCCCAGAAGTGGTACCCCGTGGATGACGAGTCGCAGCCCAAGAAAGTCAGTACTCCCTGCTTGCTACAAGAGTTCTGGTTTGGTCTATTTTGGAGGAATAAAAAGATGCGGTTTCCTGTGGACGAATGCGAAGATTGCGCCGGTCAGAATGAACAGTGAAATTTTGGTCCAAAGTTGGTCCAGGCCGGTGTCGATAGGAACATGAGTTTGATATGGGATCGCACCTTTACGACGCCATTGAACTGCGAAGAAAATGAGATTGGGAACACACGGAAATCAGAAACAACGTTCTAACATGGTTATTTTCGATACAACAGGTCCGCAAGACTCTCCGTCCCACCAAGCTCCGGGAATCCCTCCAGCCCGGTACCGTTCTGATCCTCCTCGCCGGCCGCTTCCGTGGCAAGCGTGTCATCCTCCTCAAGCACCTCGACCAGGGTGTTCTCCTCGTTACCGGTCCCTTCAAGCTCAACGGTGTTCCTCTCCGCCGGGTGAACTCCCGCTATGTGATCGCTACCAGCAAGCGCGTCGATGTCAGCGGTGTTGACTCGGCCGCCATCGAGAAGGTCTCCGCTCCTGAGTACTTCACCAAGGACAAGGCCGCCGAGAAGAAGACCGAGGAGGCTTTCTTCAAGCAGGGAGAGAAGCCCGAGGTACGTCGATTTTGCACCGATTTTGTGTAATTATGGAAAAAGCGTGATAGGACTACGACAATCGCCAGACGCTTCATGAAAAAAATGGCTTGGGTTCGAACAATTGCTAATACGGTATCTTTCTCTTCTACAGAAGAAGCAGGTTGCCAGCGCCCGTGCCAGCGACCAGAAGTCCATCGACCAGACCGTCCTGGCCTCCGTCAAGAACGAGGAGTTCCTCGGCAGCTACCTCGCCACCTCTTTCTACCTCCGGAACGGTGACAAGCCCCACGAGATGAAGTGGTAGACGTGTGTGACGCGGCGGCCGCGGGTTCGGTAGTGATTGTGAGGAGGAATTTCCTCCGAGGGGCGGCTAGAAACTGCAAATGGGCGTCCTGATTTTTTCTTACATTAGGGAAGGCATATTTTGCAGCGCAGGGAGGAACGGCTTCATGAAATATGTAACTCGATATGCGGGATCCGTTTTCTTTTTTTTTCTAAACACTAAGATTTGTGTGGTTAATTCGGGAAAAAACCGGGTTTTTGTTTGTTCGTTCTGTTTCACGGACTGTTCCCGTCCAGCGTGGCCCATTTGCAGGTTCTATAAAACAAAAATATGCCGAAATGAGATCCAAAAAAAGGAAAAAATAATACCTATCGCATGCGCTCCTACGACCAGGGGCTTGTTTTATGTTCAGTATGATATATCTTTGATTACTAGCAAAATTGGGAATTAGGGTCTTGCTTTATGCCCTTTGTGCAAGTAAATCGTTACTGTAGGTTATATTCGAACTAAATCCTCAGTGAGATATTTTACATGGAATATGGGGTAGTAAAATATATTTCATCGTCACTCGTAAATCATATCCAAAATATATATCCAACCTTTGTACACATCCCCCACACTCTAAATATCTATCTACCGACGAAAACTCTCCCTAACCTTCCTCCTCCGCTTCTGATCAACCTCCCTAATCCTTCTCTTCGACGCCTCAATCGCCCTCCGAATACTCTCATCAATCTCATGCTCCTCCACCTCCGCCTCCATATCATCCACAATACTATCCCCCACACTCGTCCCGCAGATCCAATCCACGATACCCCAAGGTCCGAAATTCCCCTCCGCACCGCTGAGAAGGTGAATGTCTGTTCTGCGGGCGATGCCGCCGAGGAAGAAACTCGTCGGCATGACTGTGTAGCCGGAGAAGGCGAATGTTTCTTCGATGGAGACGATGGTTAAGTAGGCGACGTAGGTGAGCATGTGGAAGCGGAGTAGCATGGCTGGTAGGTAGGTCGGGATGAAGTTGAGGAGGAGGTATATGAGTGGGTGGTCGTAGTGTGCTGTGAGAGGGAAGGGGGTGTGGAGCGAATGGTACCAGGATTGGTGTTGTTGGGTAGCGAAATTGTTTCCGTGATGGAGGACGTAGCGGTGGATAATGTATGCCAGTACCTATTGCAGTCAGTGTCTTTCTTCTTATTGAATATTTGAAAGGGTAAAGAAACATACCTCCCTCCCCAATGTCGCACAAGCCATATCCTTCAGCATCTCCCCAGGCATGGGTAACTTCATCGACACCTTCAGCGAGCTTGGCAATACGAATAGCTTCGTCCGGATCAACTCAATCACTCCCTGCAGAGCAATCCCTAGCGCCAAATTGACAATAGCCCATCCCGCAACCTTGATCTCCTTCCACCGGATCTTGCCCCGCTTGCTGCCACTCGGAAGACCAGCTTCGCCCTGCGCCTTCACCACCACGGCCGCCGATGGGGTCAGGATGTCAAACAGGAAGAATAATAGTGACGGAATGACATAAAATATTAAGCGCACGATTATGGTTCCGAATAATTCGACGCGAAGAGGTGGATGTGACAGCACGAGGGTGCTCCAGGTCATGTAAAAGAAGACCAGATTGAGACTCGTGCTATAGGATGAGAGAGTCGGAATGAGGAAGACCGAAAGCACCGGTAATGATAGAATGGCGTCAATCATTTTGTGCTGCTCTCATCGAAGAGAATATCCAAATATCCAGAATTCTTGTCCGGGATCGTCAGAAGAAGCTGCTGTATATTTTATCGATAGCGGCGGTGATGAAGAATTCCAGCCCAACGAGCGAGCTTCAGCTCTATATAACTATGAACAATTTGGGCCTCACGACTAGACATGTGTCACTCAAGCATAGGATAAAATATTGCCAACGGATGCCCAAAAAATTCGCGTACGGTTCTCGTATGAAGAAAATCAGATCTTCTGATACGCGCTACGTCACAAGCGCCGTCGGTAGTTTGCCGCCTTGCCTGTGTAGTGAGTGCCTGAGGCAAAGTTTTTGCACGACACCACCTCATATTGGAGATTACTTCAAGCTCTATATCAATCACTTGTTCTCTGTAGCAGTCAGGTTCAGTTATAAGTTGTACTTGAATAGCGGGCTTTTCTCCCCCATCTCTCTCAACTCTTCCTCTGAGTACATCTCGTGGACTTGGACCTCCGTCATCCTGGCCTTCTTCTGATTCAACCTGAATAGAGAAAATTCCAGCACAAGGCAGGCAATCACTCCCGCAGATGCAAAGGCAATCGAGCTCCCATAGCCAGTGACATACCGTGGCGCCTCTTTCTCTTTATAAATGAAACTTCCAATTAGACCACCCGCATTGCCCATGCAAATGAGATAACCAATCCCAATGGCACGCTTAGTGGGATCGGGGAGATTAGACACATTCCATGCATTCACGCCAGATAGGATTGGATACATTCTAAATAATGAAAGTTAGTTCTGGGCTTCAAACATGCTTGATCTGGGCATACCCGGAACAGGCGAGGCAAACGCCAAAATAGCATAGCGCAATGTGCTTTGAATGCTATTGACAATTTGCCGGATTTTTAGGAAGCGAGCCTCGTCTGGAGTCAGCCATCCGGAAGACAGACTTGGTGAGTCGAGGAGTAGAAAGAAGCACATTATTCCCAGATTGACTGTAGCCAGGCCCTCGATGATGAATATCTGAGCACGAGACATAGCGTCAATATACCCAAATTTCAGCACACGGATTCATTGGGGACTTACCCATCTCCAGCCCTCATAGCCAGCAATATCATCCATCTTAGCGATGGCAAACGCGAGGATCCCCGAAAATGCTCCCCCAGATGCAGCTGATGTGTATAGGATAGCAATACGCGTTTGCGTTTCGTTGGGGAGGTACCATTTGGAAATAATCAAAATAGCACCGGGAAGAAAGCCCGCTCTGCAGTTTGTTCAAAATCAATTTCTTCTTGGGGGACAGACGGCGCAGACCTACTCAAACAAGCCCAGTAAGAACCTGATCGCCACTAAGCTACCAAAGTCCTGGACAAAATCTGTGCACAGCATGACCACCCCCCCAGATGGAAATCAGGGACCCAAGATAAACCGAAGGCTTTCTGAATTTGCTGAGGATGATATTGCTAGGAACCTCTATTTGTCTGTCATCAGTTATGCTGTGTTCCACGTTAAATATATAAGTTACCTACCAGCCAGAACAAAAGGAACAAAAAAGATAGCCAAGGCGACATTGTACTGCTCCCCGGTCATTCCAAGGCTAGGAAGCAGACCTTCGATTTTCGCATTTCCTGAAACCCTTAGTTACCTGGACTAAAACCAAACAACGCTCAAAAGAATTACCGATATTGGTCTTATCAATGTATGCAACCAAGTATAAAATGACCAGCATGGGGATAAGGCGCCATTAATTATTGCATTAGACTCCTTTGGAACGGTCCGATAACGGGGGTTCGTACACCGACCTGTCAACAATAATGTTAACTTGAACGTGTTGACTATCAAGACTCCATATCACGAACTTTCCTGAGCACTTTCTGTTTAGCCTCATTGGAGAAGTTTGCAAGAAACTCTTGGTCCTCGGGGAACAAGCCTCTACCATCCTGGTACTCGAGGTGCACCATATCACCCTTCTCCTCAATTCGCGCTGTATCCATCTTGAGGGAAAGGACTAGAAGTTTCCTCACAATTTGAGAGATGCTATGAGCCGATACCAGGTGTACCCCCATGGGGAAATGGTCAATTTAAGCCATGAGGTTTGCGGAGTAAAGCACGAAGACATCGGAGCGTTGGCCTCAAGGCTCGGGACCGCAAACCAATGGAAAGCGCACTGTCGATATCCGAGAAATAGTAACAAGGGCCTCCCGCTGTCAAAATTGAGACCGGATCTTTAGTGGGGATTATCCGGGGTTGGTGTCACAAATCCATGGAATCCGGGTGATGGGCTTGGCTGGTGCTATCGAAGGCGACCCCTACAGATACGGGTTATTCTCTGAATCCGAGATTACGATGGAGACAAGCCCCAGACGGGGCAAATCAGATGATAACTTCCAATGTCTTGTAGGTGAATAGCCTGTATACCTTTAGCTTCGAAAAACTAGTGCTCTTACCTACAGCTCTTAGGGATCAAATGCGTCAAGAATCGGGTACAATGCCTACATAAGTGTTAGCCAGACGTTGACATATACCGTCAGATATGGCATACTCACAGAAGATCTAAATCTAGCTAGTTAGTAGTTTGCTAGGCATCTAACATACTAGGAAACCTATGGAGAGTATTGTCGGGGATAGCAATCATCTCAGTCCCTGCTTCTGGCATCTGCGAGTTATTCATAGAGCCCGCCTCCGCATAGGACCCATTCCTTATTCCCGCTGGGGTGGACTGGATTGGAAAAGGATGTTTTTTTCTGAGGGTCTCCTGTTGAGCTTCCAACCGCAACTCCTCAAGAATGACACCATATCGGTGATTTGGAGGAGCTGCAAAACTGCCTTGCAATAGATAAGACCGGCACTTCTCAGCCAGGCTGAACAGTGATGCGTAAGACTTATCCAGCTGGTTATTTTCGCTGGCGCTCTGCTGGATCTCCCAGACGTAGACTACCGCTAGCGCGCAAAACAGAATATACTGGGTCCACCAGAAAGAGTGGAATAAATTCTTATCGTTGGCCATGGTATTGACCAACTCTAGTACCCTTCTAGCAGCAGATATGCATTCCAATATCCGGTTTTGAACCTCTTGCTCATCACTTGAGCTGCTACCATTGTCCAGCAGAAAAGGCCGCGTAGCATGAATCACAGCATGAGCATAGGCGAGATTGAGCGCAGTACTTCGAACGGAGTAGGGTGTTTTTGCCGGGGGTAGTCTTTTCTACTTTATTTGCGATATAAGGTGGTCCTGTTTGTTAATCCTCATAACTATACTGTCGCTCCATTGAACTTTCGATCATTGTTCGACAGTCAAGGTCCATAAATGATACTCCGATTGCCCAACCTAAGCAGACCCGTCATCTAGCTTCGCGCCGAAAACTCGGGATCAATGTAGAAGGTTTGACTGTGCCTAGGTGCGCAGGCAGACTCGCTCGCCATGCATGTAGCTCATTAACCAACCAATGGGCTGACGGCATTTGATCTGTATTTCCTGCTTCGCCGACGCAGTAGACGTCGCGAGATATTCGTCCGATTATCTGGGCAATCCTAACCAAAGATTTAGCTAATATTTCTCTTCTATTTTGAGAGTGGACACACTTCGCATGCAAGATCAGTGAGTCGATGTGACATTCTTCAGACGCTTCAGAAACTAATGGACCGTCAGGTCCCATGTCCTCATCGTTGACACTATCGGGAAGGCCCTAGTCAATCTCATCGTCGTGAAAGAGCCGTGGTCGGCCAAAGACAACACTAAGGTATTTGTCAATGGTGTATGCAACCCAGAGGGTGCGTTTTTCGCATTGTACGGTGATATAATCAGGACGACCCCAAAGGAGGCATTTAGCTTGCATGCTTGTCGCCGATGTAGCCCCAATGACGAAACAATTTGATATGTGTTGCCGAACGTATACCAACCTTTATTCATTCGCGATGTCTGCAGCAAATTTAACACTTGGATAAGTCTTGCTTGGGCAGATTCTAGCCGCGGAAAGCCCATTTCTAAATCGGCATGTTTCATAGCAGCGCAGAATAGACGATCGCTCTGGCGCAGGGCAGACGGCTCATTATAAGCGGATGAAGTGCCTTGGAGCTTAGAGAGTCGAAAGCTAGCAATCGCAACAATTGTGTATAGGACCGCACATTTGGCATTGCCAAGGGTATGTGAGATCGGGTTGTTTCGAAGCCTATTTGCCAGCAAAGTATCCAACCAAGCCTCTACCGTCTGCCAGTGTAACATGCGATATGTCACAACGCATGTATCGAAGAAAAGCCCGACCAGAGAAAGTGCAGTGCTGTCGTCTGGGAAGATCCCCTCGGTTCCACGTTCATCAAGGTAGAACGGCCTATCTCCGGCCGACGTTAAGAGCTGATTCCTTTCAGCTTCATTAGAGCCATAATATTCCATACGCCTGCTTTATGCCGAAAGTTTCCTCATACTCGATGCAAGAATGTGAGACCCGACGTGAATCACAATACTGGCCTTCGATCACCAGTCCCGGGGATCCTCGTGCTGCTTGCACGTCTTGCCCAATACTTCCAGTCGGGGTTAGGGTTTGCGCTGGGTAGATTGGAGTACTACTCACGCTGCAGCTTCCAGCTCCAGCGGCATCTGTGGCGAGTCCCCGGTGTGTCTGTGTCTTTCCCATTGGCTATTCTGCATCGGCCAAGGACTGTGGCGTGGGCGACTTCCAACGGGCATACTTGCTGGCATAGGCGCAAATCCAATCCCCTTCTACTGCATGTCTCGCACGGGAGAGTGCCCGAACAACGAATCTTCTTTGTTTTGCACGAGTCGCAGGCTCTACTGACCTTGGGATCTTTTCTGCGGTTTTCTGACGCGTCGAGACCTGCTTCAGAGGTGTGATTGCGATGTCTTTTGCGTGAAGATTCTGGGAGAGCGGTGACAGCGGACAAGGGGTTGCTAGCTGCTGAGTCCGTAGTAACTGTAAGTGTTCCGTAACACCTAGCACACGGAGACAGACAGAATATTTGCAAGTAAGCATAATATTAACGGGAAAGATGGAGTCGCTCGAACATATGGAAGGTCTCCGGGGAAAATCCTGGGGAAAAATGCGGGGAAGCTCAAGTGCCCTTAGCCTAGCTCAACGTGTTTCTCGTAACGGAAATGGCGAGACTACTTTCTAATTTGGGGTAATTTAGCCTATTGTCAAAGAGACAGCAACGCTTGAGAGAAGCAAGTGTAATTGAACAAAAGAGATAGCTGGTCGTCTTTTAAAAACTACTGTCGCATATGTACAAATTCATCGGACATTTCCAATTCGTCCTCACTTTCGTGGCATCCCAACCTAGGCAACCTTGTTGAGAGCAGCAGCACTGACAGCAGCGTGAATCTCCTCAGCGCCAGGCTCAAACGGAAGCAAAGGGGTCCGCACAGTAGCGTGAGACAGAATTCCACGGGCAACGAGGGCATGTTTCAAGACGACTGTGCCCTCCATATGCGAGCCACGGTGATAGACACTCTTCGTGACAGGAATAAGTTGATCGTGAATCGCACGTGCTCGTTTATAGTCCTTAGCCTTGCCTGCCTGGATCAATTTCACCAGCGCTTCAGGAGCAATGTTTCCGTAACCGACAAGGAAGCCATCCATGTCAAACGCTGTGTGCAGAAGATGCTCGCCATGACAGCTAAGGAATTGGAGGTCGGGCCGTTCACGGTGAATGACGGGAATCTCCGTATCCCAAAGGCGCATGTTCCGGACGCCGGTTTTCATCGCAAAGACACCAGGTTGCGCGGTGATGTCAAGCATCGTTTTCAGGCTGTAGGTGGCCTTGGTGTTATCCGGATACTGGAAGAGAATCAACGGAAGTCCACTGAGCTCGTACACGCGTCGGTAGCGGTCTTGAGGGGCGCCGTCCTGGTATCCAAAGCGCAGCCAGCCGTGAGAGGGATACAAAAGCCCCGCGCTAGCACCGGCTTCCTTCGCACGTTTGGCTTCAAGAGCGGCTACTTCTGTGCCCTCTCCTGTGATGCCCACAATAACGGGGACCCTGTTGTCGACTGATTTGGTAAATGCCTTGATTACGGAGACTTGCTCCTCAGGAGTGAGGAAGGTGCCTTCTCCGGCATGACCCAGGACGACGAGACCTTTGACGCCGTTAATACCGCCGAGCCAGCTTCCCAAGCGATGGATAGCCTCATAATCGATATCTCCAGCAGGAGTAAATGGGGTGACCGGAGCAGGGGTCAACCCACGCATATCAAAGCCGACCATTTTGGCGAGGATTGAGTGTTTTGGGTATTGATTGATGGAAGAATAGAAGGATTGAGAACCTGGACTTCGCTATAAGAAGATGAACGATTGAGAAGCACTTCATGGAGTGCTAATGTATATCTATATATACTTCTCATTTGGGTCGTTTTATTTGCCTTCTCCGCTAGCATGGGGCGTCTAGGTATGCGGGAGGTCGACCTCTCTGAAGTTGCAGATTCCCAGAGACTCCGTGATGCCAATTAATGTCCTCCGATGCGCCATTTGTGCCTGGGCAACGTTGCAAGGCTTTCTTCACGTGGTGGCTGGCATCAATGATGTGATTATTATAATGATAGTACTGTTTCTAATACAGGATCTTTCATAGGAAGCGTTAGGGGGTATCTCATATACACCGTTTTCATGCCAGGGTACAAGTCACTCAGGAGCTAGAGCTAGGGCGAGCAACAGAATAACCATTCTTCACTCCCCAGTTCCATGCTTTCTTGCGGAGATCGGGGATGACCTGAAGGAAGACCAAATTGCTAAGCCAGCTAATCAATGTGTCGCGCACAAGATAGTTTCTCGGACTCGGTCCAAGAGCGGTGCCCTTCATGATATGGCCGACAAACATGGTAGTGATAAGATATTCGCCCCGCTCTAGAGCCTTGATCGCGATGCTGGCAACCTCGTGCGGACCCTGTGGCCTATCGGCCTCTTCCAACTGCTTCGTAAGCCCGGGCTTTATCTTCTGTTCATTATCGAATCCTGGACTCAATATCCCCATAGGAAAGACAGTATGGACCTTAATGTCCGCAGCCGGGCCATCGTGCATGCTACTCCGAGCACCGTTATACATCTCAATCTCTTGGCTCAGAGTGTCGGACAGGGAGCGAATCGCGGCTTTGGCAGGAGAATAAGGACCGTAACCGGCGACAGGAACGAAGGCGAGAGTGGAGCATGTAAAGATTAGATGTCTTCTAGGTCTCGGGCTTCGGTCTTGGGCGGCGACGGGGGAAAGCCAGCTTCTCAATGTCGCATGCGCGGTGTTTGCGGCGGTCCAATACACAGTGTCCATCTGGTCTCTCAAGGTATCAACTGGAGTGTCGACGAAAAACCCGGGGTTGCAGTATCCAGCACAGCACCAAACAACGTCCGGAGGAGCCCCGCTATTCCACTCGGTGACTTCGCCAATGATCCGTGTGCAATCTGTGGCTTTCGTCAGGTCGGCGCTGATGTAGTGGAATCTCTGTCGAGCGGGGTGCGTCGCGGAAGACTTAACAGCGTTAGTGCCAATAAACTCGGCAACACGAATGGTAAACCTACCTTGATATGTTTAAGCGCTGCTTCAAGCTTAGAGGTAGTGCGCGCGACAATCACAACATTTGCACCTTTGGCCGCAAGTTGACAGGCGACAGACTTTCCCATTCCATCGGAACCACCGGTAATGACAACAGTCTACCAGAAAGGGACGATCAGCAAAAATTTCCTAGAAGAATGAGCAGCCAGACTCACCCTGTCATCAACCTCGAATTCGTTTTTAGAGCCCAGACCGAGCATCTTGGTAACGGCGGTATACATGATGATACTGGCGAACACAAATGAGATCCCCAGTGTCGTGGGTGAGTAATCGGATAGGAGCAAGACGGGCGGAGGATTCATTAGGAGCGACAAGAGAGGAACAAGAAGAATGACGAGTAGGAAAAGAGCGAAGAGGAGTTGTCCACCGATTAGGAAGCCGCGATTGCACTCTGTATTACCGCCGATACGCCTCTTTGGACGAATTATGCTGTATTTTACAAATGTCTTACGTATTTATGCTAAACATTGCAAACATGCTTATTCTGGTCTAGTACACCAAAGGCGGTGGCAGTTCTGCTCCCAAATTTTTTATCGCGGAGTTTATCAAAATCGCAACGTCTGGACTCGGTCAAATTGTTCGGAATAATTTCAAAGAGGAAATTATGGCCAAAAAGAGAAAGGCTGGCGGTCGCCCTGCGGCGCATAACAAGCCCAAAGAATCGGAGCGCACCAAGTTCGATATCGAGGAGCGATTCGACGATTCGGGGGATGAGTTTCAAGCAGGCCGGGATCAGATTCTTCTGGATGAAGCTCCAGATGCGAAGCGTCGACGGAGAGTAGCGGAAGAAGGTTTGTGATGTGCGACATATTGCAAGGATTAATCTGACCTGTTGTCTACACAGAGGAAATGCTTCAACCGTCGGACGAAGAGATTATGGGGTACGACGACGTGGACGTGGACGAAGACGACCTAGATGATGAGGACGACGAGGAGGACGAAGGCGCCGATGACTACGAAGACTACGAAGAGGATGCGATTGGCGAGCCATCGAAAAAACCCAAGAATAAGCGCCGTGATGCCAGTCCCGGCTCTGAGGACTATGAGGACGAGGACGAGGAGGGTATCGCCGCTTGGGGTTCCTCGAAGAAAGACCTGTACAATGCCGACCAAATCGAAACGGAAGCTGATGCCTTGGAGGAAGAACAGGAGGCCAAGAGACTTCAGCAGAAACATCTCCGGGCCATGAACGAAGCGGACTTTGGCTTTGACGAAACCGAATGGGCCGACGCTGGCAAGGAAGAGAAAGACGCAGGAAAAGATACCACAGAGGTAACGGAGGTGCTACCGCAGGTGGAGGTCACTGAGGATATGAGCGCGGAGGAAAAGTTGAAGATCCTGAAGTCGAGATACCCCGAGTTCGAGCCGCTTGCGAAAGACTTTGCCGATCTCCAACCAACACATCGCGACCTTGCGCAGGATGCTAAAGCGGCTGAGAAGTCCAGAGACCCGGATGACGAGGAAGACGAGGATGCAGCACCCGTTGCTGTAGTAAAATTCCGTGCCTTGTCGGCATACCTGGGCACAATCAGCATGTACTTTATGCTCCTGACGTCTTCTCAAGATGCATCAGGAAACCCATCTCCCATGCCTCCGGCTGAATTACGGGGGCATCCTGTCATGGGATCTCTCGTGAAATTCAGGAAACTGTGGGAGAGTGTCAAGGATCTTCAAACTCCCGAGGTCCCTGAATCCGAGGATGAAGAGATGGAGGAGAGCGAGATTATCGCCGAGGCCGAACCGCGCAAGACAGAGAAGAAGCAACAGATCAAGGAGCAAAGACAAACCAAGAAACTGTCCAAAGCAGAGCGCGCCGCTCAAGCAGCACAAGCAGAGGCCGAAGCCCGGAGAGCAGAAAGACTCCGCGAGACCGAAGCCAACCTGGCAGACCTTTCGACCTTGGCCACAGACGCTAAGAAGCGGAAGGCTCAGAAGACAAAGCCATCGGCCAAGAACGCAGACGACTCTGACTTTGGTGATGAGGATGCGCTCACCGCCAAGGAGGCAGAGGAGAAGGCTAAACAGAAACGCTCTCTCCGCTTCTATACCTCCCAGCTCGCCCAAAAGGCCAACAAGCGCAGTGCTGCTGGTCGGGATGCTGGTGGTGATGAAGACCTGCCATACCGCGAGCGTTTGAAGGACCGTCAAGCCCGACTCAACGCCGAAGCTGAAAAGCGTGGTAAAAAGCAACTCTCGAAGGAAGAGCAACTTGGCGACGACAGTGACGAGGAAGATCACCGCACGGCCCAGCAGATCCGCGGCGACCAGTCCGACTCCGACGATTACTATGACATGGTTGCGGCACGCACGAACCAGCGCAAGGACGATAAGAAAGCTCGCGCAGAAGCCCACGCAGAAGCTGCTCGCCAAGGTGGACAAGTCGCGGTCCAAGAGGAGGTTGGACCGGATGGCAAGCGTGCCATCACCTACCAGATCGAGAAGAACAAGGGTCTTGCGCCGAAGCGGAACAAAGATGTGCGCAACCCGCGTGTCAAGAAGAGGAAGAAGTTCGAGGACAAGAAGAAGAAGCTGGGTAGTATTCGCCAGCAGTACAAGGGTGGTGAAGGCCGTGGAGGATATTCCGGTGAACTTACCGGTATCAAGAAGAACTTGGTCAAGAGTGTCAAGCTTTGAGTTTGGTTTTCTTGGAGCATGTTGGATATTGTTTCACCGGTATTTAACTTGTGTCATTAAAAATGGGCTGTACATACGTAATGAAATTATTAGAGCATTCGTTGCCTTTGTCAATCTCAGTATAGGCGACCGATTTCCCATCCCGAGATCTTTCCGAGACAGCAGCAACCATTTGCATTATTCAGTCACTTACTGCATAATAGAGAAGAGTGTATAGGTGAAATAGAGCAACGATGATAGAATTTGGGTCATCTTCACTCCGGTTACATCGCCCACACAAGTTATTCTCCCGTTTTGCACCTGTCAATAACAAACCCCGCTGCGCGTTCTCTGCCTGCGCGTCTAACCTAACGTCTATCAACATATTATACAAGCCCCTTGAAGACATTGAGAGACTTGAAAGGTACTGACCCGGGTGTTACCACCCCGTCAACATCGGTGACCGGTTTCATAGCCGATATCGCGTTGTCGACAAACTGGGCCACGGTTCTTACTCGACCACCTGGCTAGCGCGCGATGAGCAGTTAGAAAAATATGTCGCAGTCAAGGTCTGCACTGCAGATTCAAACTGGAAATGCCATCTAACCTTGATAGGCTTTCAATTGAGAAGCTATACGAGGAGTACGGAGCACCAGAGCCGGAGCCGGTAGTACACTTAGATGGTAAACCACTTCCACCCGGTGTCCCATCCCACGGCATTGCACCAATATGGCTTGGGAGAGCAAGCGAGAATATCACGCTTGCAGAAACCAGGATCCTACCCACAGACTTTGGCGAGGCATTTTCGCCCTCACAAGAGGCAAAACATGAATCTCACACCCCGCTCATCAACAGTCCCCTTGAGGCTCGGTTTGAACCTACGACGCCTCTTTCCTTCCCATCGGATATCTGGTCACTCGCCTGCTCTATCTGGTCGATAATTGCTCAAAGACCGTTATTTGAGAGTTTAATCCCGACACAGGACCGTATGGCCTGTGAGCACGTCGATGCTCTTGGTATTTTACCACCGGAGTGGGAGAGATGGGAAGCACGACGGTCTAGGTTTACTGAGGATAGAGCGCCCCAGTATCCATACCATCCAGCGCCGGCCGGGGTGTCTGAGTTATTCAAGCGGCTGCCGTCTGTGAAGAGGAGCATAGAGAGTGGAGGACATGTGTCAGCCCACTGCTGAAAGGCCACACCTGCCCTGTCTCGGGTAGGGCAGATATTTCGGTTAGTATTGGGGTTCTCAGCCTGCCAAGGGGGGGGGGGGGTAGGCAAGAGGGTCAGTCTGTTCTACCCCCCTCCAGCCATGGCAGATGATTGCGAGTTAGGCGTGTGTTTGAGGGGTGTGTATGGAGCATGTGGGGTTAGAATGATTAGCTCCACGTGAGAAGTGTTGTAGCTCGGTCTTGCCGGAATCAAAGTTAAGGCCCTCTCTTGCCCCCCAGTGCCTGAGTTCCTCAGTGCAGTGCAGTTTTCTTCCAAGGAGGGAGAGGCCACTAGTTGGCAGATATCATCAGCATATCCAAAGCGGCCGCGGCGGGCGCGTACGGAGCCTTATTTGAAAATGGGCTCAATAAAAAGCATAAAGAGGATGGGGGATATTGAAGAGCCTCGTGGGAGACCTACTAGAACCTCAAATGTCTGGCTCATGTGGTTCCCTAGGCGCAGGCTGGCTGCTCGATCCTGGGTGAAGCTAGTTACCCATCGGACCACATTGGTAGGCCAGCCCTGCTCTCGGAGCCGTCCAATCAGTCGCCCTAAAAAGACAGCATCAAAGGCGCCTTGCACATCCAGTGTGAGCATAGAGGCCTTCAGACCCCGTGCCCAAGCTTCCTCAACATCATGAACCAGTGCCGCAGTTAGGTCTGTGGCGGAACGGAGTGGGAGGGCACCAAACTGTTGTGGCTGAAGGACCTTATACTTGATAGCTATCCAAAAGGGCCGTGGGTATTTACTGAACAGTCTGATTAGTTTGTACAGATATCATGTGATACAGGAATCGTAGAAGGACATGCATTCAGCTAGTTATGACCTGAGGCACTAAATAACAGTAAGACCACGACTACTGTCTCAGGCTTTCAAATAATCCCTTTAAAGTATCCCTCGAAACTATCCCACCGCTCTCAGACATATCTATCTCAAGGAATCCTCTAGCTAACGCATCCTACATGCAGAGAAGAATCAGCTGGTGTTTATTAGTGCTTCAAGATAGGGGCCCCCACCGCTTCTTCCAACGCTTGTGTTTCCTCTGCGGTTAACGTGGCGCAAGCAGCGATCAAATTCTCACCACGGGCAGAGAGTGAAGCGAGCTCATTGGCGCGGGCGACGACGGTTTGGTTGATTCCGTTGATCGCCGCGCAGCTATTATACATAGGTCTCAGTTGAAGGCTCGTATGAGAAGAAGAAGGGAACACAGGTTGTACGTACATGGTCCCAAAACTCTTGTTATTTCGGCCTGGTCGGAAACTTTTCGCATGCTTTGTTAGCATGATCATATGTTGTTGACGCGAGGGTAGGTGTCCAACTTATAGAGGTAGGTGATCTGATCTTCCACGTCGCGGGATTCTTCGCAGACCTGAACTTCCATATGACCCAGCTGTAATCGAGGTCGGGCCCTGAGAAAATCGTTCTCAAATATCTCGTGAAAATGCGTTGCTGCGATGACCTTTGGGGCCTCTCTGAGATTCAGCAAATGCTCGAGAATTCCGCAAGCAAGACCGATGCCATCTGCATTAGAAATCCGGGATCTTTAGCTTGCAGCTGTCGAAAGGGAAGTCTCAATCCACCAACCGTTCTCAAGAGTCCCTTTACCGAACTCGTCGATCAAGAGCAAACTGCGACTGGTAACTTGCTTCAAGGCAAGGGAAATTTGTTGTAGATCATTCATGAACGTGCTTTGAATCTGAGATAGACTGAGCAGTCAAAACCGAGAGACTACTGCTTCAATAGCCTCTTACCTTAGAGACGCTCTCCTGGGTATTCATCTTCACCATGATCTTATCCGTTATGCCAACCTCTGCACTCTCCGCGGGGACGAAACTGCTGTGTTTTTAGAAATGCACTCGCTGTAGACATGATCCATGGGCCGCATACCTTCCGACTTGCGCAAGGTAGATGATCAAAGCAACCTGCCTAGCAATTAGACAGTGTCGTATGTGCGCAGATCTGAGCCCACTCACTTGCTTCATATAGACACTTTTGCCCGAGTAGTTGGGGCCTGTAAGCAGCAACATGCTCGGACCATGGCCCGTCTCTGGCCCTTCAGACAGGATGTCCGATTCATCGCCTATAATAAGTGTATCATTCGGGACGTATGACGGGACAGTAAGCTCTTGGAGGATATGACTGTACCATGTCAATACGCGAAACGATCCATGGATCTGGGAATTGAATCGACCCACCGTCCGCCTTTAATCTTGATGACATTCTTTTGTACTACTTCTGGTCGCACTAGCCTATAGAAGCTTGCTGCTTGAGTCATTGCGATGAGACTGCTAAGGTAAGTCTCTGTCATCTCAGACCTCAGAAGTGTTGGATGCCTACCTGTCGATTTGGCCACAGATATCGGACGCTTCTACAAGCATGTCCTCGAATCGAAGCACCCTCTGTGCTACGTCGTAGACGATCTCTATCTCTTTCTCTAAAGAGCCAATATAATAAGCACAGTACCGGTTAGGAAATGATCTCTCTCGACTTACCACAAATAAGTCCATAGATGTCACCCAATCTGTCATCCATCTCTCTCATCCGCAGATCCTTGAAGTATGCTCGATTTTCTGTAATGAATATCAACTCCCAGTCCTCATCGCTGCCATTGAAGGAAGGCTCGCCCCGGTCATTGAGCGGGATCGCAATATTGAAGCCGAGTTGGGGAAAGTATATCACGTTCACGTCAATGTTGAAGCTCTCTGGAATTGTAGTCGCGATCTCCATTGCGACCTGTTTCAGTAAGCTGTTCAATCCGTCATAATTGTCTTTCATCATGTCTAGCTCGCGATCAAGGCCTGGTTTCACAATAGTTCTACTTTGTTCATCGGAGCTGTCGATGTCGACCTAAAAGGTCAGTTTGCTTCCTAGACAAAAGATAGAGAAACACTTACTATCTCTTGAATCATCCTCCCAACCCTGTACAGTTGCGCCGCTTCGAAGATTTGGAGTGCCTTTATGCTTCTTAGTACGACTACAAACACTGAGAAGATCTTTCCCACTTGCCTTGCTTCTTAATGATAGCGCGTTCGCACCGGAGAGCTCTCTTAGGGCTTCGTTGATGTCGATTCCATAGAAAGCGAACTAACGCAACAGCATAAGTATGTCGCATTCATGACACAGGGGAAATTGTGACATACAGCCAATAGAGTCGCCCAAACCGTAGTCTTGAAGCCAGTAACCTTTGCGCTCCCCGTGCTGATACCCTTTCGAAGGTTTATCATAACAGGACGAAGGTTTTTTATGTGCTTCAAGCTCCTCGTCATCTTCTCCAAGCAGTTGAAGTTATCCGGTCGTAGGAACACGCTTATAAAATCATGTCTTTCGCGAATAGTGTCGATGTTCGTACTGGGACGAAGAAAGTCCTGTCGAAGTCGATTCCTTCCCTGAGGTGTACTTGCGAAGCGATGGAATATGCCGTATATTGACAGGCCTTCTTTCGAGGAAGTTGACTTCTTGCCTGGGCCTTGGTTGAACAAGCTAGGATGAGATTCAGACTGTATTATCTGGAGGGACAGTAGGGCGTTGCCATCTATGAGCCTGTTCTATGTTAGAACCCGATCCACAACATAGTACCAGGAAGCTCACATGGTATCCTGCAACCCGAACATCCTAACAGAGTTGATTCTGAGCAAATCCGACGCCCTGTTTCCAGGAATAATATCTGTAACCCTTCGCCTCTGTAAGTGGGTAATGATAGCCCCAGCGCAGCCAATCGTAACAACGTTCTCCATATCCACCGAGCTAGACATGTGTAGCAATCGTCCCTCTTGCAGCGTAAACCCCGTGGCTTCTGTTTCCATCTCCCCAGGCCCGATTATCCCGCCATGTGGAACGAGGAATTGCATGCGTTGTTCGTGCGTAGCGGATATCTCGAGAGCTGTAAGCTTGCTTTTGGCGTTGGGGCCGCTGAATTCTTGGGATGGGCGGATATCGAGTTGGTAGGGGAGGTACGTTTGCGTCTCTGTCGGGACGCAGTAGTCAGTATCGCGTTCAACAAATCAAGTGAACATATTTGTCTCCCTCGTACCATCTTCTTGTCCTGATTTCTGCCCTCTGCTTGTAAGGTAATCGACACGAGCGGAGGCCAGGAGCACGGTGGGTTTCGTCTGAAGGATTACTGCCAATTTTGTCAGCACTTCTCCAAGATCACAAATGCAAGACTTGAAGACGAACAACTATCAATCGTCTCATTCCCCGCGAAATGAATATCTCCCATTAGGTAGAGCGTCTCCTCCTGAGCTGAATAGTAGGAGCATCCAACTGTCCCCGAATCTCGCGTATCGATCGCCACTATCACTTGACCGAGATCATCATCGATAGACTGCTGTAGAATCTCATCGTCGACAAGGTTGCTTATTGAGCTTTGCGGTATTGGTGGCCTTGTTGTAGAGGACCTCTGCGAGTTGGGGAAACGAACACGTGAGGTGGATCCTGGGTCCAGGGACGGCGTGCCATCACGATTGTCGAATCTGCGATTGTAAGAGCGGGGTGTAATATATGGGGGGTTTGTAGTTCGTCGTCTTTTTCTGGTAGATGGATCCATGGTGTATAAATAGATGTTGTAATGGTTGATGGGGAATGGGTAGTTGCTGAGGCTTGTGGTGGGCGAGGGAAAATAAGAAATGGGTTTCAAATTGTCAGCCCTAGTCTACTCCATACTTTTATTATAATTCTAGCATAAATATGCGATGTTCAATAATCATTACATTCGTATCTGTACAGAAGAGGAGATGCTATATAGTACAATGATGGGAGTTTATAATAATACAGAATCCAGAGCCTTCAAAAATCCTAGCCCAGTAAATGCTCATATATGTCGTTAAATTGAAGCCAAGAAACGTTTTGATTCCTCCTTTTCCTTTTTATTTCTCTGCGGAACCCTCTGCAGAGACTTGGAGTGCGGTCTTATCAGCGTTGAACGCGACACGAGCAGTTTGGCCGCTTGTAACCTGGCCGCGAATGATCTTGTCTGCGAGTCTGTTTCCAATTTCCTTGGCAATCAAGCGATTGAGAGGACGAGCGCCAAATTTGGGATCATAGCCCTTCTCACAGAGCCAGTCCTTGATCTCGTCATCGACCTGCAAAACCATCCGACGATCGTCGAGTCTCGACTGCAACTCTTTGACTCTGATGTTGACGATGTCTCTGAGGGCCTCTTTGGAAAGTCTCTTAAAGACAATAAACTCATCGATCCGGTTGAGGAACTCTGGCGGATACGCAGTCTGTACCACATCCATAACTGCGCTCTTGATTTCCGGAGAAATTTCTGCATCACCATAGTCCTTATAAGAGTGCAAAGGATCAGCGCCGACAAGGATATCGGCACCGAGGTTGGACGTCAGGACAATGAGAGTGTTCCGGAAGTCAACCTTATGACCCTGAGCATCTGTAAGGAAGCCTTCGTCGAGAACTTGCAATAGAAGGGAGGAGATATCGCGGTGGGCCTTCTCAAACTCGTCAAACAGAAGCACAGCGTACGGCTTCCGTCTCACGGCCTCAGTCAGCTGACCAGCATCATCGTATCCGACGTATCCAGCTGGTGATCCAATCAGACGGCTAATCGTATGTTTCTCCTGGAATTCACTCATGTCGAAGCGCACAACCGCAGACTCAGTAGAGAACAAGAACTCGGCCATCTTCTTGCAAAGCTCTGTTTTCCCGACACCAGTAGGACCAAGGAACATGAACGACGCTAGAGGTCGGTTCTCTCCGCTGAGACCCGCCCTTTGCATGCGAACTGCATTGGCAACAGCGGAAAGCGCCTCATCCTGTCCACGAACCGACTGGCGAAGTGTGTCTTCCATGCTGATCAATTTCTCGACTTCCCCAGCCATGAGTTTGTTGACCGGGATGCCGGTGGTTCGGGAGACAACATTGCCAATATCATCAGGGGTAACAGAGTCGTGGATGAGGCCGGCTTGTGCACCCGAGCCCTGCTCTTCCTCCTTGGGCAGCTTGGCTTCCAGACCAGGAATCGTAGCGTACCTCAGTTCTCCTGCCTTTGCAAAGTCACCTTCTCGCTGTGTGCGTTCCAACTCAAACCGAGCACGTTCCAGCTCCTCTTTCGTGTTCTTGATATTGTCAATTTCAGACTTTTCTTTCTCCCAGACTTCCGTCAATTTCGTAGCTTCCTCCTGCTTAACCTTCAAGTCCTCTTGTAGCTTATCCCGTCTTTCACGGCTGCTAACGTCGGTTTCCTTGCGGAGCGATTCGAGTTCGATTTGGATGGTGGTGATATCGCGATCCAACTCCCGGATTACGTCGGGCTTCGACTCTTGCTGCAGTCGCAGTGCTGATGCTGCCTCGTCGACCAAGTCAATAGCCTTGTCGGGCAAGAAGCGATCAGTGATATAGCGGTTACTGTAGGTTGCTGCTGCCACTAGTGCACCGTCCATGATGCGCACACCATGGTGGACTTCGTATTTGTTCTTAATACCACGTAGAATGGAGATTGTGGCCCCAACCGAGGGTTCGCCAACCTGGATGGGCTGGAATCGTCGAGCAAGAGCGACATCCTTCTCGATCATCCGGTATTCATTCAAAGTCGTTGCACCGCAGCACTGAAGCTCACCTCTGGAGAGCGCTGGCTTCAGAAGGTTGCTAGCATCAATGCTGCCCTCGGCCTTTCCAAGGCCGAGCAATGTATGGAGCTCATCGATGAAAAGAATGACACCGCCTTGAGCATCTTCGACTTCCTTGAGAACAGACTTTAACCGTTCTTCGAAGTCACCTCGGAACTTCGCACCCGCAATAAGCGAGCCCAAGTCGAGCGAAACGACACGCTTTTCTTTGATACTTTCAGGTACATCCCCTTTGACAATTCTCTGCGCCAATCCTTCCAAGACCGCGGTTTTACCAGTACCGGCAGCGCCTATGAGGACGGGGTTGTTCTTCGTTCGTCTCGACAGAACTTGAATCGTACGGTGAATCTCGGAGTCTCTTCCGATAACTGGATCAAGCTTCCCTGCCTTGGCTCTTGCAGTAAGGTCGACACCAAATTGCTCCAGTGCTGGTTTCTCTGGCTCATCTCCCAGGTTCATTCGATGTGTACCACCTGGAGGGTGCGGACGACCGTTGGCATAGTGACGAATGGGTACAATCGATTGGAAATTCGTAGCTGAAGGGATCTGAGAGGGTAGTAATCGAGCTTGCGAAGGTAACCGTAGCTTCTGAGAAGAAGTGAACAATCGGTTTGATGACGACATAGTCGGCGTTCGAAGCAGCCAGCTTCGAGCAAGCTGCGACCTTGGCGCCATGGCTGAGACGGTGCCCGTCGAGGCAGATGTTCGTAGCATATCCAAAAGGAAGCGAATATCCAAATTCGACGAGAGCTCTCACTGGGAATGCTTCGACCGACAAGGTCAAGTATATATCCCGCCGGAGGCCATAGCTCGGGATGCTTCTCGAAGCGTCCACACCGCCTCCCGCAAGTAGCGGGAAGCTCCCCCCGGGCGCCGACCAAGTTCCGGACCGGAATAATTCACGTGACCGGCGGAGGGGCAGTCGGAGCCCGCCAAAGGAAAAAAAATTCGTTCGACCCTCTCCTTTTTAAGAAACCTCCCCCTCAAAAAATCCCCTACATTTTTCTTCTCTTTCTCCTTCTTTCTCCCAACCACATCCACTTTATAAATAATAATCTTTCACAATGGGTTTCACCGACTTCGTTTCTGAGACTGGCCTTTCTTGTGAGTCCTTTGCTGGTGTGGTTTTCTCTTCTCATCGTCCGCATCGCTAACCCGGTGTGCCTCTCAGTGGCCAACACCTTCTTCAACAACCGGAGCTACGTCGTTGGGTAAGAGAGAACCCTGTTCCGTCCATTGCCATTGAATGTTCTCGTTTTTCTTTTGAGCTTGGTTGTTTCCTTGTTATGATGAAAACAAATTGGTCCGTGTTTAAGAGGCGGCTTAAGACCCCGCTGCAAGACTACAAACCTTTGCGAGCAATCGCGTTTCTGATCCCCAAGATACAACCTTGTTTTGTCTACTATTTGCTTTTCTGTGTCCAGTCGCTTGCCAATCGTCGCAAGATTTGTACTGACCAGTATCTAGCACTGCTCCCTCTCAGGCCGATGTCGTGACCTTCAAGGCCTTCTCCGGCGCTCCCGACGCTGAGAAGTACCCTAACGTTGCCCGCTGGTACAAGCACATCGCCTCTTACGAGTCTGAGTTCTCCACCCTCCCCGGTGACGCCTCCAAGGCCTACACTGCCTACGGTCCCGAGGCTTCGGAGACCAGCCCCCAGGACAAGCCTGAAGATGACGACGATATGTCCCTCTTCGGTAGCGACGAGGAGGAGGATCCTGAGGTCGTGAAGGAGCGTGAGGCTCGTCTCGCAGAGTACAAGAAGAAGAAGGAGTCCAAGCCTAAGGCCATTGCCAAGTCCCTTGTGACTCTTGAGGTTAAGCCTTGGGGTAAGTGATTGGTTACGATGGTTGCCTTTGAACCCTAGTATGCTAACTCATCGTTTCAGATGACGAGACCAACGTTGAGGAGCTTGAGGCCAACGTCCGTGCCATCGTGAAGGACGGCCTTGTCTGGGGTGCCTCCAAGTTTGTCCCCTTGGCCTACGCCATTAAGAAGCTCCAGATCAACCTTGTCGTCGAGGACGAGAAGATCTCCACCGACGAACTCCAGCAGGAGATCGAGGAGGACGAGGACCACGTCCAGTCCACCGACATTGTTGCTATGCAGAAGCTGTAATTGAAATGCCTCTTATGAAGAATGGATGATGATGGATAATTTTCATGTTTATGAAACGGATTTTTTTTTTTTTTTTTATCATAAATGTTATGAACTCTTAAAAATTATTAGAAACCGACCTTACCGGTCGTGATGAAAATGAACGACAATCAAAAACACCTTAAAATATCATGCTCTTCAGTAGGATATCTCGAGTTTAAAAAAACCTGATGCCCGATATGTGAGGTGTGCACGTTGGGGCGGCGTAGTCACCCGTAGGAACTAACTACCAGTCAGGTGCGCGTTTCTCATTTTTCTTTCCGCTGCGCTACTGAACGATTTCTTGAAAAGAAGCACACATTCTTTGATTGACAATTGAGCAAGCATGGCGTTCCTATCCCGTCTAATCACCTTCTTTGGCCTCATCCTGCTGGCACATGCGTACGTCTCTTCATCCGGACCTATCCAAAGGACACCACTAACAAATCAATATTGACAAAAACAGAGGCTACTCAGCCCACGAACACACAGTCCTATCCAGCAACACCCGCCTCTCGATCTCCTCAACCGCCCTCCCGCAAGACATCATCGTCGAAACCCTCGTGTCGCTCGTGGTCGTCTCCCTCGGCCTCGTCCTTGGCGCGGAGAAATTGAAGCCGATTAGCTGGAGTCAGTGGGCGGGGGAGATTGAAAAGGAAGGGGGTGCGAGGAATCCGTATTCAAGGTTGGAGGAGAGGTATAGCTTTTGGGATGTTAGAGTGAGTCGTCCCTGGTAATTCGGGTTGGTCGTTTGAGGGGATGATGATTGCTGATTTGGTGGTTTGGATAGGCGAAGAGAAAGGAGTTTAGTGAGTGGATTCGGGGTCAGGACGCGATGGCTGCGCAGTGATTGAAATGGTTTGGTTTGATTAGGATTGGAATTGGTGGGATGGATAGCATGCTCTATACTACGTGTATTATATGTTGAGCTACTAATGACTGGTTATGGTATTTTCTGCTACGCCTGATATCTTCCTGCAGGGTCAATTATGACCCGGACTTTACAGAGAGCTGTGCTCCCCCATCGATACAGGATACACTGTCAACAAACTAGTCAAGAACCTGGTCTGAAGGAGTAATAAGACAGACGGTGAAGCTTCTGCATGGTACCTTGGGCTACCAATGCATACACGTCTTGGGTTCTTGATAAGGAATAAATGCGTTTATTCAGCGGGTACCTGGCATGCGGTAACATGGAGTAGGGTGCTGAGTTGTCGATGAGGAGCACGGAGGGGCATTTCTGACAGCTGGATATGCTACACAAGTAGGCCGTTGCATTACATTAGACATGGCTGAAGGATTAGAGGCATTATCAGAAATGTATTTGTCAAGACGCATAATGGCAATCTATCTGTTTAGGAAGTGACACCCGACGCGTACTTTTTAATTCAACGAGCATGATTGCTTGACCGCGACTTGTCCATCGGAAAATAACTGACTGTTGAGCTGATCGACCATGCCACCATGTGAACCGCAGACTGTTGATCGACATGACTGTCTTATCTGATTGTCCACTACAACGAATCCACCCAGAATAACGTCAAATACAGTCGAATCACAACAACATCACAATGCTGTTCAAATAAGTTTACTGTCAATGTGTGTGAGACAAACCGCAGGTCACATGATGGCCATGGTTAAATATAACAACCCACGGCCCAGAATTTGGCGGGATCCGACTTTTGCATTGCGACAACCCCAGTTTAACTGACTCGCGATTGTATAGAACTGAGAGGAACTGTCTCAGTCTATTTATAAAGAACCCGAGTTAAATTCGCAGCCGATAATTGATATGCAGCAAGGGCTCAACGAGGAAAAAGAGTTCTATTGACAGCCAATTATTACTGCTCCTTGCATTTCGTTCTTCTTTCAGGTCGTCGTACTTCTGCAAGTCTCGGTGGAGAGGGATACGTAGGCTGTCTACGCAGGCGACAGCGCACTTAATTTGTACTGTCTCTGCTACAAGTACTGTAAGAGTTCTCTTACATTAAGTGTATACGAGGCCAGAGTTTTCGGCAATTCAAATGTGGCTGTCTGTCAAGTCAATCATCGTTGCCAGGGCGAATCATAGTATTACTCTGCTCGTCTTCTCCTCACACTTTCCCCATCTTTTGCCCATCAAAAATAGACCGGGCCAAGGGAATGAGTCAAGGGTATGCCTTTTCAGAAGCAATCGAATCGAATTCGTCGTAATACAAAAAATAAATAAATAAATAAATAAAATAAAATAAATAAAAAAGGCTGACGCAACGCAACCCAAACATGGACTGACTAGTCGGGGTTTGAAGAAGGATTCGCAGCTATCCTCGTACAAACCGAGCATATCCCCAGAAGGGAAACGCGGGATGGACAGCCCTTCGTTTTGGATGGATACGTCCATTCACTGTTCTTCACTCGTCAGACTGAGGCTATTTATACTCCTCTTTCACCCAGCTGCATCTACTCTCTTTTCCTCTCTTTCTCATCCATTGGTCTACTATTTTACTTGATATCCAATACCCATACCCATACCAGTCCATAATAATCCTCCCTAATACAACCCTACAATCCATTCATAATGCACTTCAAGACCACCCTCCTCGTTGCCCTCTCGGCTTTCGCTGCTGCTCAGCAGTCTTCCCAGACAGTGGTAAGTCCTTCCCCTTCGATCTACACACCTATTCCCCATGGAGTAAACGAAGCACATGCTGAACTACCCAGGAAAACCCTGCCACCGGTTACCTCGACCAAACCAACTCCGCCGGCGCCGTCACCGGCCAGCCTGAAGCCGCAACCTCGCAGCAAGCCGCCGCTACCTCGCAACCCTCTGTCGTGACTTCCCAAGAGCTCCCAGCCGGTGTCTCGTCAAGCCTCATCCCCTCCCAGACCTCCGGGCAGTCGACCCTGGTCACCTCCGCCGGCTCGTCCTCCGCTGATGCTTCCTCGACTGCTACCAAGTCTACATCTTCCTCTTCCTCTGACGATGATGATGACAATGACTCTTCTTCGTCCTCGTCTAGCTCCGGCTCGGCTAGCTCGTCCACTGCCGATGGTGCTGCTGCCGTTCCTACTGCGGGCTCTGTCGTGTTGACTGTTGGTCTGGCTGGTGTTGCTGTGGCTGCTTTGCTGTAAAATGAATTGAGCCGGATGGTCCTATTCTCCTGCTCACACCATATACCCTTCAATTGCCTATCTTGATGGAGAACAGTGAACCATGGCCAACGGGAAGCTGTCATACAGTAGCATATTTGGGATGAGATACGCAGCTTGTTCTTCTTTCTTGTTGGATATGTGTTGGGAAGTGTGTTTTTACGCTCTCCCTCTTGTCTTTTTGCCTTCCACAAGGGCTGTGACGTAAATAGTTATTACCTTAGCACTATCTAATGTTTGGTAAATAGAAGTTTGGACTGAATTCCTTACGTGCTTCATTCGGTTGTTTTTGTAATCATATAAAGATGGCGATTAGACCATAGTTAGCGAACTGGAATTTGTAATTGGCATTGTGAAACAGACAAATACTTGCACGGAGCACATAAGCGCCGTTGATTATGCTTGATTGGCGTATCGCACTCGTCGATGTCACAAATCTATAATCCGAAGACATTGGAATGTCGAATTTGTTAGCCCTACAGCAAGACCAACACGATCTCAGCCCGATTTCCCTCCCGATTAGGAAACCAATAACACTTCCCAAAACGCGTAAACGCGTTTCCAAATCACATGACCAATATCGCGTCGCGCGACGGTCATCCCTTTTCGGGCCTAGCGGCAGAAATCGTCACCGCAACCAGAAGAAAACAAAGAACAACAACGCACCGCTCAACGAGCGAGCTTTACTCCATACCCCCTGCCAGTTTGCGACGTTCCTATCGTTTGAGGATTAGGGCTGGATTTCTTTGTTTTGTCTTTTGTTTTGGGGTTTTTTTCTTTGGGATTATTTTTGGAATTGGCATTGGGTGTGTTGTGATTAATTGGTTGTTGTAACGCAACGCAACGCTACGTCTAGGGTACTTTGTACAGCAAGTGCACCGGGTTGCTATATTATACCCCTCCCAAGCAAGCTGCAGAACTTTCTATCGCATATCATCAAAAGCGCATCCTACAACCCGACAAGATCGATACATCATGGTGAGTTAAGCTTTCCCTACCCCATACCACGGCATTGGCCGCGGTTCATACCCAACCAACGCTAACACAGCATGTTATACAATATACAGCCCTCAGCCTTCCGCCGTCTTGCAGGAGACCACGCCGTCCTCCACGACGACCTCCCACCAAACTATCTCTTCCCACCCGATGACTCCTTCGACGACCTAACCCAACTCTCCATCCTCCTCGCCGGCCCCCAAGGCACACCATATGCGCAGGGATTATGGCGGTTACATCTGAAGATGCCAGAGGATTACCCTAAGAGTCCACCTAAGGCAATGTTCCGGACGAGGATCTGGCATCCAAATGTGGAGGAGACGACGGGGGCGGTTTGCGTGGATACGTTGAAGAGGGATTGGAAGCCGGAGTTGACGTTGAGGGATGTTTTGATTGTAGGCTTCACCATTGGTATGGATGTGGGGCTGGGCTGACTTGTGAATTGTGCAGACGATATCGTGTTTGTTGATTTATCCGAATCCAGACTCTGCGTTGAATTCGGCGGCTGGTGCGCTGCAGCAGGAGGATTATGAGGCTTTTGCGCGTCAGGCCAAGGTCATGACGTCGATTCATGCGCCGGTTCCCGCGGATATGAAAAGTGCAGTGATGGAGGCGAAATTAAGAGGGGAGGAGGCTGGAGCAGTCATCCAAGAACAACAGGAGGATTCGCGCGCACTGCAGACACGGAAAGGGACAAAGGTGCAATCAGTGACGATGAAAAAGAAGGGAACCTCGCAATCCGCACAAGCACACTCGGCACAACAACAACAACAACAACAACAACAATCACTTTCACCCCTACCACCCCCAACAACCGACCAAGACGAAATCATGACATCTTCCGACGCCGAGAACGAAAACGACGAGAACAACACCACCGAAAGCAAAGAAAACGACCCCTCCCTCTCCCCCTCCCCCGTCAAATTTGCTCCCCCAAGCCCCCGCAAAAACGCCCACGGCAAACGCCCTCTCTCCGTCCTCACAATGCCCCTAGACCACGCCCACTCCCACTGTCACACCCACGACCAAACCTCACCCCCACCAACAATGATGGACACAGACGAAGACGGAATGATGATGACCGCTTCGGAGAAAAACATCGCTGCCAACGCCAACCACCAAGAGTCAATACCAGAAGAAGACGAAGATAGGGGAGACGCATCACCGCGCCGGAAATCACCTAAACTCTCTACCCTGAACAAAGGCGTCAATGCATCGGGCCGGATCCGCGACGAGATCTTCGAAGATACACCCCCAACACCCTCAACACATCACCGCCGCACTAAAACAACCGGGAAGGAAAACCATGATTACGATACCCTTGCCGATGCGAACAAGGAACCCGGTAAAGCGGCGCGGAGGAATTATTACAGCGCTAATGCGACTACGAACCCTAATCTTAATACTCATCCTATTCCTACATTATCATCCGCCTCTTCGTCTGCGTCTGCTTCTCTTTCTGCAGCCCCCGATACCGCTCCAACCAGCTTGAAGGGTGCCAAGGCAAAAGGTGCTACGAGGTCCGTCTCTGGGGCTAGGAAAGTGTCTAAGCCGCGGATTGGACTTCGGAGGTTGTAAATTATTTAAGGGCTCTGGGTTTATATTATTACTTTTTGTGACGATCATTATTATTCTTCTTCTTGTTTTTATTAGTACTATCTTTTGAGGGCGCTTGCATTGCGGTTGGTGTTTGGGGTTCGATTTGTTGTACGTCCCAAGGGACCATGAATGATACCACGGGAATTCAAAATCTACCAAAATTATTCGATGATCCATTACGTAGCAAGACAAGTACAACCATCCGGATGCGCCTTTAAATAAGCTATGCAAATATCTAAGATTATAATAAACATATCTTCGATCCAAGTCCCTTCGTGACCAGTCTTCAACCAAAGCCATCTGCGACATTGCCCGTAATCAACAAAACAAAAACATTCAATTTAAAGCATGGTGCCTTGTGCGGACAACCAGTGATTCCAAACACTTCGTCCAAGGACTTTTTCTGCATAAAATCATGCTGCGGATCTGATGTGCAAGGAAAAATAGGAACTCGGTCCACTGACGTGATAGACAGACAGCATGACCCAATATCAAAACCAGAGAAATCTGTAATGGTTCAAGCAAAAGGGAATAAGAACGCTGGGCTGATTAAAATGATACTGCCTGGAGAAAAGGGACGGTAAACGCTTTGATAGGCGCAAGGCAAGGTCTGTTCGAGACACGAAGGGAAAAAATAAAATAAAAAATTTGTACTATGAATCAAGCAAACATACACTTGAAGAGGTAAAGTATATCGTTGTCAAAACCCTTTACAGAGCGTAAGGGTTCACAGACCGAATAGTGAGGCAACTGTAGATGCGAATGAGTTAGCCATAAGAACGGTATAATAAAAACCACCATGGATAATACTTACGGAGGACTCTTGGACAGATCGGTCTTGAGAATAATGGGAATGCGGCTCATCTCCGTGACATCTTGGATGTATTCTCCGTTTTCTTCCCTGAGCTTAAACAAGTTCAGGTACTTCTCCTTGTTTGTCAACTTGGCTTCCGGAGCGTCACCAGCGCTGGTCGCCATCTTCGGGTCCGAGCGAGTGCGGTGAGGTCCCTGCTGGCCATTGCCGTTGTGGGTTGGCGAAGGGGGCATGCTCTGAGTCGGGCGGTCGGCAGAGTTGTTCAACGACACACCAGCGGCCATCTCAGTGACCTCGGACATATCGTCATCATCATCAAAGAGGGCATCAACATCATCTGCGGACATCGTTCCAGTCTCAGTTTGCTTGCGCATGGCCTCGTCCCTCTCGCGAGCACGCTCCCTGGCAGATTCGGCTTCACGAGCCGCTGCGGCAGCCTGGGCAGCACGGGCGTTCGCGGGCTTGGGACGTTCATCTTCGGGAACGTACGCGGACGACGGAACGCCCTTCTCCCAGTAGAGCTCGAGAACACGGGAGTCCTTGCGGAACTCTGCCTTCTTCAATGGCAGCTGATCACAGTGGACACGCTTTTCGAAACCGTACTCCGGAATGAGGACATCGAACGCGGACTCGTAGACGCAGATGACGATACCCTCACTGATCAGGTCGCCACCAATTGCCTGTCGTTCCTTATCCATGTTACGGCAGGCCTCAATGTGGACGCTTTGCTCCTGAGCGTTGTGTGCCGAGTCCTTCTTGTTGTTGCAAAGCTCCGCTGTCTTGTTAAGGGACTCCAAATCGTCCGTGAATTCGATGGCACCATCAGAGAGAATGGCCTCCAGCTGACGGTGCACAACGATGTCGGAATAGCGACGCGAGGGGTTGGTGAAATGGGTGAAGAAGGGAAGGTTGAGAGTGTAGTGCTGGCGCTGCTCACCCTGCACAGTACCTCCCACGTAGTACTTCGCGCGTTGCATGGCCTTGACGAGAAGTACTTCCATGCCCTATATAAAAAGAATTCGTTAGAGCCCTGGACTTCAGAAAGGCAAACAGAGTTGACTGACCTTGCGCACTTCAACATCCGACACCTTGCAGACACTGCTCTGCAAACTGCCACTGCTGGTAGCGTCCATTTCATATCCGAGTGGGTTCATCCGGTCAACGAAGGCCTGAAGCCGGCGAGCGTTTGGTGGAGTCTGGCGGCGAAGGAAGGCCTTTTCAGGCATGGCCGTCACCAATTTGTGGGCAACAAAGAAGTTGGCCTTGTGGCTCAACTCTTCGACCAGCTCATGGGCCGCAGAGGCGTCGAAGATGTTGTCTTCGACAGGCACGTTCTCGTCATCCAACTGAGACAGCAGACGCAGAGGTGGCAAGTTTGAAGCACGGTGGCCAAATCTTGCTTCGCGGAATTTCGAGGCAAGGCCCTAGAGAATCGAAAAAAAAAGTTAGCACGAGCAAAAGGGAAAATGGGATCACCAGTCAAAGAAAATCACTTACGTTCAAGGCCCGAATGTCGTCAGCGGTAGTCCCAGGCACCGAAACGTCGTTCCGACCACCGATGATTGCATTGACCTCGTCGTAGCCCAGTCTACCAGAGCTCTTGATGACACCCTTGCCGATCCACACGTCATCATCGACGATACCGGTGTCAGGGTTGGCTCTGAACACCACACTAACCGTCAGGCGCTCCTGACCAGGAAGCAGCGAGCAGAGCTCCGTAGAAACGCGCCGTGGCAGCATGTTCACCAGGCGGTCCATCAGATAGACGGCGGTTCCCCGCTTCTTAGCCTCCCGGTCCACCAGGGAGTTGGCCTTGACGAAATGGGCAATATCCGCGACGTGAATACCGATCTCAACCTGTCCATTGGGGAGCTTCTTGGCGTGGACAGCATCGTCCAGCTCCGGGGTGCCGTTAGGGTCAATGGTGAATGTGACTTCGTCACGGAAGTCGCGACGCGAGGCCAAAAGTGCCTCGCCCTCATTGGCAACTGACCAGTCGTCCCAGCCAATACTCTTGAGGACCGCATCGGAGAACTCGTCAGAGCCGAAGTTGTTGTCCCGGAGAAGGGCATCGGTCTCCACCTTCAGATCACCCATCTCGCCGAGTTGCTCAACCAAAGTACCAAAGGGGTGCAGAGAGGTGATCGGCCATCGCTTGATGCAAGCGACGAAGATGCGGTTGGCGTACTCCTGGTGCTTCTCGACGAAGTCTCGAGGAGCCTGCTCGGTAGGAATCGCAATGAGCGGAACACGCTTGTCTGTAGGCTTGAACCAAACAATCTTGGGCTTCTCTTGGTGGCGGTCATTATGGCGGCCGTGATGGCCGTCTCTGGCCTGCCGTTCGGCCTCTTGCTTCTCCTTCGTCGCCTGGCTACTGGGACGGAGGAGACCCAGAGTTCCCGAGAACATCTGTCCTGCGACGCGTTCGATCACAGCCACGATATGACCAGCATACAGCGGCTTCTGCTCATCGCTGATCTCGTCTTCCTCGACCAGCAGAAGGCTCTGGCCTTCCACTTCGACATCGTCGTTCTTCTTCTGAGTGGGTCGCTGACGGAGACTGCCACGGCGACGGATGCTGCCGTCAGGTCCGACCTCCTGTCGCTCTCCATTGGCGCCGGAGTCCGAGCGAGACAACTTGTCACCGCCATTGCCACCAGAGCGGGCATCTGTGATGTCCTTGCGCTTCTTCTTCTCTTCCTTTTCCTTCTTCTGCCCCCATACTTCGTCAACATCCAAGAGTTCGACAGCAACAAAGTCACCCTCAAGGGCACGGTTGCGGTCTTTGCTTCCACAGATGAAGATATCGGCATCCAAGTCGGTGGTAGTGACATAGGCGTCGGAACGGTTCTTCTTGTTGACCCGGAGGGTACCGGCAACCAGCTGACCGTTGCTCAGCAGCGCCGGCAGGTTCGCCTGGGGAAGGTAAGGAGTGAAGAGCGTCTTGCGCTGCTGCTGCTGCTGTTGTTGCTGCTGTTGAGCAGACAGTTGCTGCTGGGGTGCGTGCTGACTGGCCTGGAGGCCCAAGCCCTGACCGTTCAGCTGTCCATTCTGCTGCTGCAGGGCCTGCAGTTGGGCAAGCTGGAGAGGGTTCAGCTGCTGACCACCAAACACCTGTGGAGCCATAACCACTTGTCCCTGGGGAAGCTGAAGGAGCTGCGGCTGGCTCTGGTACTGGAACTGGCCAATGGAGCCAACGGACTGGTTCATGGACGCGCGAGCACGGTGGCCAGGCTGGAAAGAACTACCTTGCTGCCCAAAGCCCGTCCTCTGCTGATCCTGGTTCTGGTTTTGCGGTTGGCGCCAGTTGCTGTCAAAATTGCGGGACGAGGAGCGGGCGTGGCCCTGGGCATTGCCACGTCGTTGGTTCTCCGGCAAGGGACCAAGACCACTGTCAGGGAATTGGAATCCACCAGCACCGCGACCGGAAAGAGAGCCACGGTTGCCGCCAACTGCCATGGATTGACTGCGACCATGACCGCCGGCCCGAAGGTTTCCAGCGCGCTGAAATCCCAGACCCTGAGGAGCTTGCGGAGCACTCGGTGTCGACTTGCCGTCGGAGGTCGGGGTGTTCTCGTCATTACCACCAGCACTTGGGCCGGGGAACTGGAAGCCAGAGGCGGTCCTCTTCTGCTGGGCGAGTTCCGCAGCCTTCTTGGCCTCCGGCAGTGCCAGAGAGTGACGACGCTGGTGGCCACCACCTGGGGGACCCCGGCCACGGCCGCCGTGACCTCCACCCTCATTCCTCTGATTGCCCTGCGGCTGCTGCGGCGGCGGCGGCGGCGGCTGCTGCTGCTGCTGCTGCTGCTGTTGTTGGTTGAAGTCCGAATACCCGGAAGCACCCGAGGACGGAGCTGGAGGCGGGCCCATGCCCAAACCGGGGAGTGCGGAC